CAAAATATGGGAATAATAATTACGCGTAGGCGTCATATGTACACCCGCACAAATAGAGTCAGGACCTGCTGAGGATGAAGATATCATCTGCATTATTCTACTACCAACTCGGGCATAATATCTATAGTGGACCCTCTGGTGGTATACGAATCGGCTATGTTCTTACCAGATTGCGCGAGCTGTTGGTCGATATTGAAAAGAAGGGATTGACTTTCACGTGTTATGTAAGTCAATTGGTAAGGAATTCTGTTGAATGAAAGTGCTGTACGAAATTACCCCAGTTATATAGTTATCCGGGACTTTGCAGTGGTGACGTGTAGTCATGTGACCACAAGTGACGTTACGAACAACTTACAATATATACATTATTGTATTCCAGCAGGGCCCTGGTGCAGAAAGGCCTGTCTAATCTAAAAATCATCAAAATAAATGGATCGGGCCCCCATAATAACTCTATCTAGACATGGCATTCAGGCGAGTCGGGCGAGTTTGGGAGGTCTAGGGCTTATCTGACCTTTGACCTGAGTCCTGATTAGCCATGCTTGGCTTAATATCAGACTTATTAGATTAACAGAGAATTTACCTGTATAGGCTTAACAGGACCTGCTAAATATATACTTATACAAACAGTCTTTTAATTATTGAAATTAGAAGAAAGTCTTTAATCTTTCTAAACCTTCTTCCTATATAATACCACTAACTTCTATATATTATCTTGCCTTCTCTAATATTAAATTATTGATTTATAATCTTTTAATATAAGTTTTCTTAGAGTGGTTAACGGCCAGGGTAGAATAGATTAATAAGAAAATCTATACCTTCCGTCAAGTTAACAGTTGAGTATAGATTTTTTTATTAACCTATCTTATCCTGGCCGTTAACCACCGTATTAATTTATTTATATATCTTATTTTAACCAGCTATATAAAATCAGGAAAATTATATAAAAATATAAGAAAAATAGATTTATAATCTAGAGACCTGGCCTATTCTATGTATTATTATTATTTAGATTCAGTATGGTTGGGGTACTTGCCATTACCATGATTATGTCTAATAGAAGATTTATAATTTAGAAATCTAGCTTTATTCTATATTTTATAATCATACAGATTCAGCGTGGTTGGGGTAGTTACCATTACCATGATTATCCCTAATAGACGGGCTTCTCGCCTAATATTAGGGTTATCGGTGGCTAAGTTAGCTTTCAGAAATCTCCTTGCCTTTGACGAATTATCTCTTAAACATTCCGTATAATATGTTTCCCCTGGGTTAATGCAAAGTCTTCCATTCAGCGTGTAAGCAAGCAAATAAAATATCTGTACAGAGCCATTACCCGCGATTCCTGCAGTAGTTGTCAAAACATATCAGTCACGACGACCTGCGTGGACCAAAGGTGTCGGATAACTCGGTCCATAAGCAGCCCTCTCTGACAAGGCGGAGCGCCTAGCAGCACGTTGTTGAGACAGCATAGTTTCAGTTGATTCTCTGGAGACGCGCCTGTAATCAGACAAGGGAATGCCATTGTGCACATCAGTGTCTTTCTCCGGCTGGCCAGCTTGTTCCACATCCATTGCCGCCTTACAGCGGTACTGAACTGAGAATACAACGATGATGAGTGCGATCAACCACTCTCCGAAGAGAATGGGAAGTGCTCGATATAGCTGCCCATTGCACCCATCGCTCCAAATCTGAACCAGCACCTGGTAGGTTTCGTGGGCTGGAAGGGCATAACCCCAGCGGAAAAACCCAGGGTTAAGTTCAAATGGGCTTATTGTGCTGGCAACATTAACGATAACCCAAGTGAGCACGCAAAATGGCAAGAATTGCATGGAGATGAACGTGGTAAGAATGTCCAGAATGAGAAAATTCAGGTGCATGTACAGCCAAATGATCATCCAACATAGGACAAATTGATTGCTGTTGACATTCCACGATTCCCTAAAGGCCCAGATATACCCGACCATGAGTAACGAACCGATAAAGGTGTATACAACTGAGATGCACAACCGGAGAAGTCCATTGGCGAGCCAGCTTAATTTGCGTAGCACTTGAAACTCCATGCATATGCCGTTTAGCGCCATCATGAAAAAGAATTGCTGGATTATAGGCATGACCATAGAAACGGTGTTGTATAGCACCCTTGCCCCTTGATTCGTAGGCTTAATGTTGATCTCCGAGGCCGTTATCGGATTCAGAAAAGCTTGCATGCTCGTCGGGTTGGATAGAGTGGCGAAGCCAAGATCACTGGATGCATTGCGGGCGTAGTATGCGTCACGAGATCCTTGGACCAAACTTAGGATGTTTGAGTATATGATGCTCTGGGAGAAGGCAGGGTATCGGGCACCGTTCCAGATATAGGTCAGTGCAGGTTGGTCGTTGCTCACACCGCTGGTGAGTGCGGCTGTAAGGTTGTTGGATGCGCCGGCGTTGCTGTATATCGCACCCCAAAAATCTCCGTCACAAACCGCCTTTTTTACCTCCAGTGGAGACGAGTAGACGCTTTGTGAAACCGACTCCACTGTCGGGAAACTAAGCCCACGTAGGTCTTGGTAGGCATCTAGGACGGACTGACCGATGATGCCGCCATCGAAGTCAACATAAAGTATCTTCAAGGCGTGCGATCGACTGGTGTCTCGGAATTGGGTTGCATAAAGGTAGCACATATTCCCAAGAAAGAGGATCTGTAGCAGAATGAAACTGATGGCAATAGCCATCAGAAAGCGCTTCCGCATGTTGCGCCAAATTTCTTGGCTAGTCCACCTTATCGGCTCGGTTTTGGCCATGCTGAAGAGATGTATAAATAAGTCAATAATAAGATCAGGTCTCGCAGGACAAGGTGAATTCAGGCCCGGTTAAATAAGTTAAGCACGAACCCGGGGATAAATGATAAGCGTGAAATTGGTTTGGAATAACTAATTAGCTTAACTTATAGAATCTCAAGTTATTGAATTTTAACTTTTTCTATCAATTTTTTATTTCTCTTCTTTTTCTCGAAGTTAAGTGGATGATGTTGTTAAAGTTAAAATGACTAGTCGAAGGAAGACTGCGGATATTTCTTGGAGCGTCGGAAGCTTGCGGGCATCGGATGCCCGCAATCCCGAAACTCTTAAAGGGGGATCCGCACAACTTCGACGTCACGGATTTCAACTGACCTCCCAATATCGAAAGTGCTGTTCATGGCACAAAATCTTTCTTCCTGGCCCCTCCTCGCCCCACCTTTGCTGTTCATTTCTAACGCGGGTAAATTTTTCTCACTCACTAAACCCCCTTCTCCCCTAAGTTTCGTCTAGCCTCCTTTCTGGGTACTTATCATCCGTACAGGAGCGATATATCTTACTCCATAAACTGCATTAGTTCGGACCGGCGCATTCGATGAATAATGATCTTGAGCGGAGGGGCCCGTCCCAAGGATCCTACCAGTGCGGGATTTGTCGGAAGGCTTATGCCCGCCCAGATCATCTCGTCAGGCATGTACGATCTCGTAAGTGATGGATTGTAAAACCGATCAACGCCAGCTTTTCGGATTACTGTTGGGTATACCTAACTATCACGCTACTCTTGCAGACACTTCAGATAAACCATTTGTCTGTGAAAGATGCTACAAAGGATTTGGCAGAGTGTTAGTTCAGTTTATACATTTACAACGAGACGGCTGTTTCTAACAGAAACCGACAGTGATATCCTTCGTCGACATGTTGAGAGCCATCACCGTCCTGCGGTCTTGACCGATCTCAATCACATGTCCATGTCATCCTCACCCGTAAGAGCTAGGGTTTCTCGAGCGTGCAGCAATTGCGCAGCCTCCAAACTCAAGTGTGATGATTCCAAGCCCTGTCGTCGGTGTCGCAGGAGGAACATTGCCTGTCAGTGGTCACAACGACCAGAATCTTCAAGTTCGCCTCAATTCCAAGCCCGAGGTATGTAGCTTGTGCCTATACTGTGAAATATATCACCGTGGAAGGTCATCCGTACGTATACTTATAATCACTAACGCTTGGGACATCAGGTGAGTCCTCATACAAGCTTCCTGATTCCTGAACCTCACCGTGATGAGAAGGAGCAGAACAAGCAACGACGGTAGCACCAGCCCCAGACGTCTCACCTCTTAGCCGACGCCTTCCTTTGGAACAATATGGCCTACTAGAACAGATTCCGTCGACATCTCTCGGCCCCGATGGGCCTTATCACCAGGGTCCTAACATTGGAATTGAGGGTCAATTACCCGATAGATTGCCACTAATGGTGGGACGAACTCCCATCGCAGTCCTCTGAAATCTGCGGGCATGAAATACTAATTCGTGCGATAGGCTGAGGACGGAGATATACTTGCAGAGGGTCTCAACTTGGATCTGGGACTGTCGAAGGCGGATCTCGAGTTTCTTGATTCTCTTAATAACAAGTATACTGATACGCAAACTGAAGTACAGCCCACTGCTGCGCGACGGGCGAGTCAGCCGAAGAACCTCGAAGCACCGGGACCGGCACCAAATGTCGGATATGATAATCCACCTTTGGCCGACTGGGCCCCTCGAGCGGAGGATAATGCACACATGGATGAAGGGTATCTTTCAGTGCCCAAAGACCTGGACTATTCGATGTACACTTCTGGTTCCAATTTTCGCGTCCTGCCTGAAGCGCTATCTCGAGAAAACAGGGATGCGGCGTTTGCGGTAGTTGTGCTAATCTGCCAGGAACGAAATCTAAGTCAAATAATGCGCTGTTTTCCAAGTACAGAGTTGTTGGATAGTGTTATTCAGGACTTCTTTCTCCATCAAAGGAGCGAGGTTCTGTCCTGGATTCACGAGCCGACCGTGGAGCTGAGTAAAGAATACCCCGAGTTCATTCTCAGTCTGGCTGCTGCTGGGGCTGTATTGTCTCCCATGATCGCGCTTCAACGACTAGGATATGCGCTTTTAGAAATCGCTCGTCTCCAACTATATCGCAGGGTACTTTGGACTCCTGTCCCTGAACAAACAAAATGGGCACTGACCGGCATAGTACGAAAGTGACAATATCCTGACTCGCCACTTGCGCCAGCAGCAGGCATATGCGCTGGTGCTAGATATTGGGCTATGGAGCGGTGACAAACGCCGTATCGAGATTGCAGAGAGTTTTGAGCAGCCAATAGTGACCGTGAGCTACCGTACCCCTGCTCCCCTGCTTAGGTTGACGTTGTGAGAGCTGACTTCTATCAGATGCTGCGTAGGTCGTCCCGCTTCAAAGCATGTACCACAGTGGAACTACCGGAAACGGAGGACCCTGAAACGCTTAACCAGTGCTGGCAGAATTGGGTCGAACTGGAATCTTACAAAAGGTGAAGCATTGGACATTTCCACGAGTACCGGGCGCATACTGATCCACATCCTTGCAAGACTAATTTATCACCTTTTCGTCCACGATGCGCGGGCATCCCTATATCTTTCCACCAACCCGATTATATCATATATGGAACTGGAAATACCCTTCCCATGCAGTCGAAAACTATGGGAAGCGAGGAGTGCTACGGAATGGAAAACTCTTTACGAGCAGGAAATCTCTCTATCAAATATCAAGCTGCCTTCTCTCGCCAAGGTTCTCAGCAATCTGCCAACACTTGGCGAGCTTCACGGTCGAGCTGATTTCCCGTTCGCTGCCCTGGTGTCATTACATGGTCTATCCAACATAGTGGCGGACTGTAACCGCTCATGGTCTGGGCCGTGCGGATCGTGGAATGCTCTCTTATTCCAAAGTTGGCAACGAGAGCTGCAGATAGCACTGGAACACTTTGAAACGATCGTCCGGGCAGCCAATCAATCCCATATACCCATTGTCAGTCTTGTCCACCAGGCAGTGTCACTGACTCTTTATATGCCCCTGCGCAACTTAGAAGTGTTCGCTGGAAAGGACGGAGCAGAAAGCTCAGCCAATATTCGCCGCAATTTCATCGACCGCATTGAACCTCAGCAACTGCGGCGGGCGAGTTGGCATGCCGGACAACTGCTGCGCCTATCCAAATTGATGGCTCCAAGTTCTTTGCTCGGCTTTCGTGCTGTTTGTCTTTATTTTGCAGCATTGGCTCTTTGGACATATGGCGCCATCGTAGAGAAAGGACCTAAGGCAAGAATGAAGACACCTGGACCGTCCGACGTGTTTTTCTTGGATGGGGAGCATGATCCGCCCGCATTGAACCGGTATGTTAACTATGGACAAGGCACACCGGCGATCTCGTTTGCGGAGTCACCTGTATTCTTAGATAATCGGCATGCTGTGATGATGGTGTTCCAACAAGTGCTGCTGGCGAGTCATCATTGCCGTACGCTTTCGCCACAGTCAAGCGCTTTGTATAAGGTATTCGTATCACTGGGGATGTGTACAATCCCTACCAATACATGAAGCCGACTGGAAGCGTCGGTCAAAAAAAATATATATTCTGATCATATGTCTTATATAAAGATAATACATCTGGAGTTCTCTTCAAAAACGATGGGTTACAGGATGCATCCTTTGCAAGCCACAGCAACTAGCCACTAGTTGTCTACATAGTCGATATCATCGTTCTCTGAAAGTGGAAAACCGTCGTCGCAAGTTACCTTCGGCACATGAAAGAGTGATGTCGATGTCACATCCAGAATGTCGTAAATTTAGTCACTCTTCTTGACATCGATCCCATCAGTCTTTTCCCCCAATGCTCCGACGCGCTCGCATGGTGTCAGAACATAGAGCATTCTAGCCCATCCCGCACTGGGAGTAACATTTTTCCAGGCGTGCGAGGTTGCCCGCTGGATGGCGACATCACCCCTTTGCATCAGTCGCTTCTCGCCACTATCCAGGACAAGTTCGACCTCGCCCTCAAGAACAACGCCATAGTCCAAGGAAACAGTTCGGTGCATAGGACTTTCGGATTCAGGGGGAAGGTCAACTATGCGGCAGACTGTGCCAGTGGAGACAACCAATCCAGGAGGGTCCGCGAGGTACCGTTCGTACGTGGAGATATCGGTAGCACTCTCCAAGGTTGCCGGGAAACGGTTGGTAGTGTACGCGAGACTGAACCCGAAGCCATTGACGTTCTGGATTGGCATGTCTTCGGTTAATTGGGAAGAGAACACGGCTTCGCCACTGTCAGTGTTGGTGGTTATGAACCGGCTGAGAGGTCGGATATCTTTCCCATTGTTCCCAACGGACATGGTCACGTTTAGTCTTCCGGCGTTGTGCTTTGCCTAAAGTTGGACTATATGTTCTGGCAAGGTGGGCTAGGGGGGAATTGCAAAGAGATGGAGAGTTGTAGCTTCTTATTTTGGTTTTAGTAGGTCGTTTATTGCGTTTCAACTACCTCGGACAGAGTATATTTATATTACACGAACGACAGCTCTCCCCTCCTATTCTTTCACCCGGTTAGAACTACACAGCCTATCGGCTAGCAGCCTCGGAAGTCCACAATCAGGTTCCTTGAGCCGAACCCCCGACAACAAGCTTAGTTCGGGATAATCGGCAGGGTTACATAGTTGTCATATGAGGGACCGAAGTGAATGTTATTGGTTCCTTGGAATTTATCCGCAGATCTAAGCGTTGGTTTCAAGGTTAGCGTCCGACTTGAATAGGCGATAAAACATGAAAAGGGGTTTTGACGAGGGCAAAAAAACAACGCACCGATCTTCAGGGTGATTATGCTGGAAAATGCCGGAACCCTGGGTATCTCCAGATGCCACCTCAAGAATAAGTTTCCCGCCCTTCTCGACCACTACGTTGGTTGGCCAGATTTCGACGTCCACAGGGTAAACCTCGCCTGGCATCACAGGAAGAACGTCGGTGGAGAAATAATCTCTATACGGAAGGTAATGACGGTGTCGCGAATGCTGCTCATTGACCTTCCGCATGCTTACCCGCAACCAACCTTTGGTCAAGGGAACGGGATCACCTGCAGTACCCGTATAATGGACCTCTTTGCCAGCGGGGGAGATATACCGGAGGGTCAAGAAAAGATCTAGATCGGTAGGCAAAGGACCTCCTTTGTCGGGAGTGACCGACACGTTCAGATGAGCAACAATATGTCCGGTGACTTCAGTCTCCTGCTCGAACGCCGGAGTAGCAAATTGGATTAAGGAAGGATTATCCAAGGTTCCCAACGCACGGTATCCTAGCTTTTCCAGGCCCAATTTTGGTTTCTGGTCATGCAGAGACCCATCTGGAGCCAGGTAAAAATTGGTATATTGAGTGCGAGCTAGTGGCCACTCATTTTCAAGACGACGCTGGAATTGCCTCTCTGCTGAGGGATCATTGAACCCTACATCCCCTTTACGCAGGAGAACATCGACTTTGGGTGCTTTACCGGTTGACCAGCCCACAGTGTCACGCCCCTTGAGGAAGGCATCCAAGAAGCTCTTTTGAATCTCAACTTCCTCCTTGTAATAGAATGGAAGATCGTGACGCCCGGTAATGAACCGAAGATATTTCAGGTCGGAGCCGGCATTCATATAGCCGACAATATTTCCCCTTAAGTGGAGCAGGATGCCTCCCCAGTTCGCAACAGAGAGAAGGGGAACTTTGATATCTTCCATGTTGTACTCCTTCGATGCGTAATATAGATCATCTCTGAAACGGTTAGTAACGTTATCAATCGTCTGATCGTTTCGATTCGCAAGAAGTTCCTCCTCAGTCAGGTCGCCCTCGATAGTATCAGGCCCCCAGTTTCGTGCAGCCCGATCGGGTCTGCCATACTGGTTAGAAACCACCTGGCGATCCCACCAGAATTTGATGAAGGCATTAGAAAGGATACCGCCATGGCGACATCTGTCCCGATAGTAATCGGACATTCCTTCCCATGGAATCATGCATGCTAAACCTTTAGGCTGACGGGCTGCAACACGCCATTGACTCCCAGCGTAATAACTGATACCGAGGAGGCCAACTTTTCCGCTTGACCAGGGCTGCTCAGCTGCCCACTCTACGACATCCACGAATGCTTCACTGGTACTGCGAGACATTGTATCCAAGTGGCCAGGAGACTGGCCCAGACCGCGTTCATCAGCGCGTACAACAGCGTAACCATGCTGGGTCCAGAAGCCGGGGTCAGGGGTTTCCCACGCCGAATGAGCGGAATGATGCTCGGGATTCACTTGGTCGTAGGACCAGCGGGCAAAACTATACCAATGTCAGGGAAAGGCAAGATGGGCAATCATCGTGGGTAAAGGCATACTCCTTGTAATGAATATCTTTGCCGTAGGGGCCGTATGTCACTAGGACCGGACTCTGGCTTATGTCCTTGGGTCGGTAGACATTGCAGCGAATTATACCCGCATCATTCTTCAGGGGAATGGTAACATTCTCTTCGTATATGTACGAAAATGATGTGGTGTCAACCCTGGTGAGGTCTTTGATGGGATTCGGCATGATGACGGACGAACAATTCGCAAATGTACGCTTTCTAGATCAAACGAAAATCTTAAATACAAAGATAAATCCAAAATAATCTGAGCACTTATCTACTTATTTCATAAGAATGTCTATATAACCACTTTTTGTGCAATTGGCTTTTCCTAAATCCGCCGCTCCGTATGTGGAGCCGAAGACATCGGGAACGGCTTCGGGTATCATCCCGAGCCCCGAAGCCGACACTGTGAATGGCAAGATGGCACGCCGATCCGCTGAATAAGGTGAGTACAAGTATTCTGTGACCAGCTGGATCGTCATGTCCTATATACTTACATACATATATTAGCTCTTTGCTATCAATACTATTGAGTTCACCTTCGCTGGCTCGTCGTCACTATCAAAATGCCGTCAAGCACAAATGCTAAAGATGCCGTGTTTCCTCTTAAAGTGCTCATCGTGGGCGCGGGAATAGGCGGATTGGCTGCCGCAATTGCCCTGCGTCAACAAGGGCATGATGTAGAGGTGATATACAGCCCCTGGAAGTTTTGCTCAGCCGGAGACATGTACTAACGAGGTGCTTTTCCAGATGTTTGAACGATCTCGATTTGCCAACGAAATCGGAGCTGCAATCCATCTAACCCCCAATGCTACCGGTCTATTGAGGAAAATAGGAGTAAACCCCAGGGACTATGGTGCTGTTCTAAGTGAACAGGTGGGTAACTGGATATTCTTGGACCCCGTAATTACCGCTCTGAATGAGTGCTAACTCTCCATCCCGTACACACCAGATTCGAGACTACACTTCTGACGGGGAGCTTAAATTCACTGGAAATATCACCCAGTTCGCTGATACTTGGCAACATGTGAGAGCGCACTCGGAAGGATGTCACACTGTCGGTTACTAATGGTCTGTTTCTGTAGGAATGGTTTCTAATCCACCGCGCTCACCTACACCAAGCATTAAAGGATAAGGCAGGGGCTGATGGTAGAGGAAGACCCGTGGTTCTCCATACTTCTAGTCAGGTGGCAAGTGTGGATCCATCTTCAGCCACCGTGACCCTTGAAAATGGGCAATCCTTCACAGGTGACGTGGTGATCGGTGCAGATGGGGTCCATTCTGCTGCTCGTCATGCTATCTTAGACCGGGATGTAAAGACATTCAGTTCGGGAAAGAACGCTTTCCGGTTCATGGTGTCCCGCCAGGAAGTACTGAATGACCCCGAAACTGCCTGCATCGCAAAGGATCTCGGAAGTGTGGATATGTGGCATAGCGCGGACAGCAAAGTTGTTATATACCCCTGCGTGAACAACGAGACTTTGAACTTCGTCTGTATCCACCCAGATAACCTAACGAACATTGGCGTCGCCAACGGCTGGGACCAGGCAGTGGGCAAGGAGACCCTATTGGACGTTTACAACCACTTTGAAGACCGTGTCCGAAAGGTATTGAACAAAGCACAAGCAGACACACTGAAAATCTGGCCCCTTCTGGATATGGAGACTCTTCCCACCTGGGTCAACGATCGTTTGGCAATTATGGGGGACGCCGCACACCCATTCCTACCGTACCGAGCTTCTGGGGGTGCCATGGCTATTGAGGATGGCATATCGTTGGCCATCATGCTTTCCGGGGGTGTAAAAAAGGAAGAGATTCCGGAGCGGTTGAAACTTTATGAAAAGGCCCGCCACGAACGGGTTACCATCATACAAGAATTCACTCGCGAGTCCGGCAGGAGGCACTTGCCCATGCAGGAAGGTATGCAACTTTCTGTACAATTTTATCATCCTGCCCCTCTTCCCCTACACGCCGAACCATTTCCGGGGAGCCATCAACTAATATTCTCTACTCAGCTATGAGCATCATGTCATATATCTATGACTATGATGAATGGGATAACTCGACCGAGCTTCTACGACGGCATGTGTGGGCCCAGAACCCCCATGTATACTATCGCCAACCAACCGCGTTCGGCCCTATGCCTGGCCCCCGTCAGGACTTCAGAGGGCACAGCAGAGCAGCGGCATCAGCCAATGCGACCTTCCGTACCGCGTCCATCCGCTTCAAAACAAGCCGAACACTTCTGAAGAATCTGTTGCCCAATAACTCCTATAATTTCTTGGGTAATGGTAGTATTGCTCAGGCCACGCTTTCGCAGACTACCCTTGACGGACTGGACTGGCTGGCTGGGGGGGGATACAACCACCTCGGTCTATACATTCATGGAGTCCAGTATACAAACGCAGATGGTCAAGTGACTGAAGGATCATATTTGCCAGTTTTGTTCGAGGACCTGGCAGATCCAATCATCTCAGGACGCGAGGAGCTAGGGTTCCCCAAACTTTTCAGTACAATTGACATCCAAAAGCGCGATGAATCCTACCATGTAACGGCTGCCTGGCGCGGAGCGACCTGGGCTCGACTCACCCTCACAGGCTTGTGTGAAGCAGCGCCTGTTGCACCTTCTGATACTTCGAGACTTCTAGTGCATCGCTATATGCCGTGCGTTGGTAGCGAACTCAAAGGGACTCCTGAGGCCGAATATGCCGTCTTCGTAGACAGCGCAAAGGAGGCCGAGGCCAACCCTCCCAAAGTTAAGCACGTCTTCAATGCGAAGTCTGCTTCCCTTGAAATCGATGGCTTGGACTGGTCCCAACTACCCACATTGCATCATATCGTGTCGCGGCTGGCGGAGGTTCCGGTATATGAGGTCGTAGATGCAAGATTGGTGGAAGGAGAGGGTGTGATGGATATCTCGTCCGCTCGGAGGATTTAAAATATGTGAAAATTTCTTCCGGCATGTTTTTAAATATTTAACAGCAGTCCATAGCAATTTAGCTTTCTTTTTGACATGGATACGTCCAATAAGTACTCTTCGTAGGATAGTCGCACTGATCGTGGGAGGAATTCAAGGTCTAGACTTGCGTAGAGCACAACTTGAACGTCATACAGCGCTACCTCAGTATAACCATTATATTGGCATCCCAAAAATTACCTAACCTAGCACCTAGTAACATAGGGTGGAAATATATATATATGTCGTATAAAAATGTAGGCTTATGTGCCAATTTAGAATTGTAACGGCGAAGATATTTTACGTAGATCTAGTTCTTGCATTCTGGCAGCAGTAGATACAACCGTATTTGCAGCTCTAACAAAATCAATTCCGGCAATAACTAATCCGAGACTTTGACTCTTGCGTCGGTGGTTTACTAACAATTTTCTGCGTTATTTATGATGGTCTAACCTACTCCGTTTATCGGAGGATTCTGCAACGGTCTTTTTTTTCGGCATAAGGGTACTATAGATCGGGCCGGAACCAGTCAGGGAAACCTCGGAATACATTAATCGGAGATGTTGTTTTAAATTTTTTTTCCTGACTCCCGGCCGTGCGAGAAATAATAGACTACACGTATAAAAGATAAAAGGCTCTACGCGAGCTCTCCCTTTCCTCTGCTCAGAGCTTCAGGCTTGAATGCCTAATCCCTAGCACTCATCTGTTTTATTTGTTACCTTATTTCAGATATTAAGCCCACACAACTGTCCACTAGAACGATACCTATACAGCAATGACCGGGAAATTATACATATTGGACCTGGGCTTGTCCAGCTTTCCTTGTCGCAATGGGCGAATCATGTCATGTCAACCAGACGGATCATCGTTAAAAGAAATTGTCACAGACCTCCAAACGCTTCCTGACGGAGTAGCCGTCGATTCAGCCAACGGGCATATCTACTGGACGAATATGGGAGAGAGCATGGTCAACGACGGCTCTATTCAGCGTTGCGACATATCCGGCGGAAACATCCGGACGATCGTTCCTCCCGGTAGGACTCACACTCCAAAGCAGCTGAAAATTGCCAACCAGAAACTCTACTGGTGTGATCGGGAAGGCATGCAGGTCATGCGAGCCAACCTGGACGGCAGTGAGGTGGAGGTGCTGCATCGTGCTGGTGTGACGGAAGAGGATCGCGAAGATCGTCGCAATTGGTGCGTGGGTATAGCCGTCGATGAATCTCGAGGAAAGTTATACTGGACACAAAAGGGGCAATCCAAGGGCTCTCAAGGGAAAATTATGTGCATGGACCTTCCACAGTCTGATTCTCGATGCGTTCCCGATGGCGGCTTAGGGGATGACCCCCGGTCAAATAACGTCACCGTGCTTCTTGACCACCTCCCTGAACCGATTGATCTCGACTTGGATATCCAGACGAATACGTTGTATTGGTCTGACCGGGGCGATCCGCCCTTCGGCAACTCGATAAATGCGGCACAGTTGGATGCAGTTGGCCGGATGGCACATCTCGCGGCGCGAATGCTGGTTCGCAAGTTACATGAAGGTATCGGGCTGTCTTTGGACTTGAAGAATAGGAGGATGTTCTTTGGTGATTTGCTTGGTGGCGTTTACAGTTCGGGTTTGGACGGAACGAATAAGCAGACACTGTTCGCGGAGCTTGGGGATATCACAGGGATTCTCTACGTTGAAGATTAGTTGGGCAGAGAAACCAGTACAAAAATATTACTTGCAGATGGCACTCCTTGTAGTATTGAGATTAAGATACTTCCATAACATAATTCAAATGATGAGATTTTCAGAACATGATATGTTGGTGTAATGATCCAAGCAACGCTTCAGCCTCGTGTTTCCCCCTTCTAGCTAGCATTTATACGCTCTTATATCAGATAAATACACAAGGAACAACAATGTCGCGCCGCATCTATCAATGCAACAGCTAAGTTACAGTGACAAATGCCAAACGGCTGATCACCATTCACCGCCAATTTCGTAGCGGAAAATACGATCAGAAATAAATCGTCCACCTGTTTTCCGCCAACACCTGGATACAACCTTCCATTGCCGTGGGGCAAATCACTCAGCTTGTGTCGGACAGATTCCAAGTTCAAGGTGACCTACCGAATTCAGCCAGACGCCATGCAGCATCACTTCGATGAACGCCCATTCCACCCCGTTAGAGCCAGCTGGCCGTTCACTCTGGTCAAGATTATAGTTTATAGGCCGATAGGCCGGGACACGCCTATGATCCCTAGGCCAGTCTGGAGGTTGTCCAAGGGATGGTCGCGTTTCAACGTTGGCATGAACTGTTTCCTGTTGTTCACTGTGGTGTACTTCATAGTCACCAAGGAGAGACAGCGTAGTGGCCGTAATGGGGTTTGCGGTTGTAGTAGCGGACATTATGTTCGGATAAAGAAAGGAGGATAAGGACTAATAGGCACGTTCGAGATGTACTGAGACCAGGCGAAACAAATGTGTACGACAATTACAGCAGCATCGGTGAGAACTGTATGGATTCACTTGAAAAGTAAAAGCGATGGAACGCCCGGCAATTTACTCCTGGCGCTGCTTTCCGGTGTTTAGCAGTCGGAGATACTTGATTCATGCGAGGCAAACTGATCGACAGGCGATCTTCGCGGGAGAGGCGAATACCCGAGATTAGTTTGCCGGACCGATGTGGACAACCGATGATTGCCGACCTCGTCGGGCCGGTGAGATCAACACACTTATGGAGAGGCGGCTGAAGGTGTGACTGGAGGAGTGAATAATAGAAGGTGAAGAGCTAAGGTGGATGCAGTTGACCTGCAAGGCCAGCGGATATTCATAGTCTACTCAACAACATTTACTTTGTTTTGTCCCAAAGTTACGCTTCCTCTATCTTTTACCTCGCAAGATTCTTACGCATACGTTATGGAGACTAATTCTATCGTGGGACTGCCACCCCTACCACCGCAGTTGGTGGCCGTCCTTGCTAGCAATATTGATGGCCGGTTAAACAATGTTCTGTTTCGCCAAAAGCAGATGCGCAGGTTGCATGGGTGTATTGTCAACAATATGGATGACATCAGGGCCAGTATCGTCGAAGATTACGGGCATAGCCCAGAGGAAGTCCAAACAGAGTTGTGCCTCGCCTTACAGGAAGTGCACACCCATTTTGCCTCTCTTGATTTGAAACATGATCTTCAGAGTGAATATCTCGTGGCCCATGGAGAAGATAATTGGAAAGCAACCCGAGGAGCTGGGATTATATATATAATTCCAACCACGCATACGCTATTTTACTCCGTCATTGCTGCCCTAAGTGCCTCTATCGCAGCGGGAAACTGTACTATTATTGAGGTGTGCTAAGTCTTACTCGGCTATCTCTCATCTCAGCTGGCTAGCGCTGACGCGAATTACAGCTCCAGAAAAGCAGCTCACGGACATCGTTTCTTCTATGGAATATCCTAACTGATGCCTTGGACAATGATATATTGGCGGTGTGTGAAGAACGTCCCAGTTTGAGCTTTTTACAGAACACTCTCGTCGTCGCCCAACGTCGTCTGGACGACCTGGCTGCGGAAGGTCTACGTGTTTTGATCCCCCAGGATGAGCGAGTCGCTGCCATCGTTGATCGTACAGCCAATGTTGATGAAGCCGCTGCCGGGCTGGTCATGTCTCGGTTTGCCTTCGGTGGTCGATCTCCATATGCGCCGGACATTGTTCTTGTTAATGAGTTCTGCCTTGGACGCTTTATTGAAGCTGTAATCAAACATGCCGCGGCTTGGATGCGCAGTGGCTCTCTCAGCCAGGACGCTTGTATAGTTACAGGGCAGAAGAAGTTGCGTTCTCTGCTGGATGGTGTGGCTCCTGAGGACGGTGTGCAAACCATCGTCTCTGGGGATGACTGGGGTGTAGTGCAAATTCGCAACCGGTGAGTAGATATACTTCCATATCGGTCAGCTGAGCAGCGCTAAACTTTGTTATACAGGAACTCGCCTCTTCTTCAACGTAAGTTTGAGGGCAAGTTTCTTATACTCCACGCAGTGTCTAGTTTAGACGACGCAATCAACTTTTCCAATTCGTGAGCCATCCGTCCCACTCTGCTGGCAATCTTTGCTCTGAGGCTAACCTAAAGCCAGCAAAGATAATCATGCTACATATACTTTTGCTCGTTTGGATGCCGCTAAGTACGTCTCCGAGTCAATTATCTCACAAGCAGCGTGGATTAACCATGTACCGTTCCATATGCTCCGTAAGTAATCCTTGTTAGAGCCCTCACAAGGCGTTTCTGACTCGGTGTGTTCAGTTGGCCCTGCCCTCCCACACAGCAGGCCTCTCAGTCCAAGCTCTCGGTATACAGCCAACCTGTTCCGAGTGCCGCATCCCAAGATTGTGCATCCTACTGTCGACTCTGCTTTGGTCAAAAGTATATTGCTTCCGTCGGCTGCCGCAGGGGAGAAGACGTTGCAGAAACTATTATCTTCACCTCCAGAAGTTGAGCAGCGCCCTGGTCATAGGGTTGGCTTCTTTGAGCAAGGATTGATCTCCGGAACATCAGTCGTCCTTTCCTTCATAATATGTGTGTCAATGATGGGAGTCCGGTTTCTAAGATCTTAGAGCTCCTGGTGATATAATTATGTTTCAGAATACATGTCCTTTTTATGCACAGCACGATTTTTAGAGCCCTGTTAGGAGCCTATAACTTAGATCTATAAACGTCTGAACCTGGTTTACCACTCTGCGTTGATACAACGGTAGGTTGTTATGAGCAAGGCTCAGGTAACCCAGAGTCTATGAAGAAAAATATGAAAGGCCTTCTTATCCCTCAAACACAAATCGACACGGTCCTAGTATTAAGCACGCTGTTTATCCTACATTTCTACTGCTTTGCATGGAAGCAGCTGCGTTGTGCCGCTGGGGGCGTTTTGCCGGGGGAGGGGGGTAGATTAGTGTGAATTCAATTGTCTTCACTCCTGAAGCATTTATTCTCGGACTTAAACTAAACGCTGATTACTTCCCAATTTGCTTTGGTAAGGCAGGACATGATCAGGTATAATATACGTTTATGAGTCTTCCTCTTCTACTAGCGGTAGTAGTAGTAGTAGTAAGTAGTAATATAGGAAACAAGAAGTAAGACTGATTCAAGAACACCAAAGTTAATTTAGTATGCCAAATCGCCCGTGAAGTTCCTTATAAATACAGATTAACACATTGGGACATGCTACTACCACGATCCAATGGTATACTGGGTGTTGCACATATTTGTGAGTTCCCATGTCTCAGCACCCAGTACTGCGAACGTGCCCTCGTCCTCAAAATCCCCCGCTGCTCCAGCAACGAACATAGCTGCCATGAAATGATCATCCGTAGCATGTGCGTCCCGGTATTCAGGATGTTTCATAAGTCTTGTTACTGCCCGTCGCAGAGCGGGTCCAGAGTTCTTTGTGAAAACATCTTCGACAGCTTGTCGAAATTCCAGCGCCCAAGTCTCAGGAGGCGAATCTTGGGCAAAGTTATCTCGGAAGCGAAGCATAGGCGCCCAGCGATTCCGATAGAGATTATGAACAGAGCCACCAGTTCCAATTAAGAGATAATTTTCTTTTCGTAAATGGCGCAGAGTGGATCCAACTTTCATATGATAGTGAGGATCATAGCGAGCGTTGAGCGATATGATCGTAGTTGGAGGGCATGCTTTTGGAAACATCCGGACCAGAATAAGATATACATCATGGATCCAGTCGAATTTGTCATTTCCGGACACATTGTAGCCTGCCTTCGCCAGGAGGTCGATACATCGGTTTGCAGTTCGAATGTCAGGATTCAGTTCGTAGTCCACGTACTTAGACGGATGCACATATGCAACAGGACTCTTGGCTGGGTTTGGATTTGTGGAAACCTGGATCTGGTCGCCGATGGTGTCCCAGTGCGCTCCCTTATTGTAATCAGACACCGAACCTAGTATCAGAACTTGAAGGGTTCTGTACTTACCATAAATACGACACCCTTGATTCCATGCTTGAGAGCCTCGTCGCCACATTGTTTCCAATAGTCAGTCGATGAGCAGTGTTCTCGAAGCATCATGGTGGAGCCATGGGAAAAGAAGTGAACAGGAGTCAATGCTGCTGCTCGTCAGGACGTTGAATATAACACACAAAAAGGTATGTAAACTCTCCATTACAATTGGTGGAACAATACTTACTCATCTTCGACTGCCGACTTGATTATGTAAGTCTGTCATATATTATAGAGACTCTGCGAAGGTACCGCTCTAGTTATGCTTTATTGAGAATGGCGGATTCTAGCGACTGTTCTCTTTATCATGATGGAAATTCGTGGCTATCCATCTCCGACTTGGGCTTGATGGCTCGGTAGTTCGGATGTGGTGGACCACCTCGGCCCACCTCTACCGAGTGGCGCGCAGTCTACGTCAATGCTATTACCCCTTTGGTATAGTGTTGTCTCCCCTGACTGCCAGCACCAAGCCAGCTTCTTTCCAATGCTGCATGATAGGAAGCCCGGGTTTGAGTGGTAGGTAGTCGAGCCGTCTTGGGAGGGGAAGCCTATTCCAGAAGTCCCAAAGGCACACCTCATGGAAATCTTAGAGGTTGGGCACAGCCAATGCCTCTTTATCCAGAGGCCACCAACTTTGATAGGCAGATTTATCGCTGAGAAATCTATAATCCACCTTCGATGAAAAAGTGGTCTACAGGACGGGTGGTATGTGTTGGCGACGCTATACACCCAGTGTCACCTGATGCCGTGTACGGTATGGGAATGGCGATAGAAGACGGGCACTTTCCCGCCAGGGCGCTGAATCGGGTAGACTTACGTGACTTGCGGAGGGTCAAAGCTGGGTGTGAGATTTATGAAGAACGACGAGTTGACTATGTCAATCACAACATGGAACTTTCTCGTTTCCTTGGCAAGATATTCCACGCGGTGTCGCGACCTCTCGCTCAAAGTCGTGACTAGATGTTTGACCACACCCCAGTTCCCAGCAGAGTTCTTGGGGATGGCTACCTGAAGAAGGCCGAGCAGGTGACACTTAACCCGAAGGAGCTTCAAGTCGCTCCCGGAAAGTCCCGCATACTCAGGAAATCCTCACAACAACCAAACCCACTAGTTCGAGCAGGCTGAAAGCGGAGGATGGTAGCACTCTTAAAGAACAACGACAAAGGGTCGGAGGCATAGGTCACATCTTATTTTCTAGATCACTCTAATTGATCATCATGCTACACTTAATATTTAAGAGTCCTTGTTTGCCTTCTTTCTTTGATGGTAATAATATATTTGATGTCTTTCATTCCATTTACTAGATTATTTTCTACCCGGAAATTCAGTGGGTCTTGGCGTTTTCATGTATCTAGTATGTCTTGGGGCTTATTACGCCTTCAGTGAGGTACTATAGCCGCTGAATGGATGTATGAGAAACAGCGCGGGGACGGCGGACTCAGTGGCGGACCGCAAGCGGAATGTCATGAGTGGGTGGCTACCGAATATTGATTGACCGCACAACAAAAGCTGGCGGATTTTATGACAATGGCTTCGCTCAAGCATGACGACTACGCGGTTGAACATAGTCCTTGCATTTTGAGGATAGCGGACATCGTTCCAGTTCCTGTGAAGCCTTTGTGCAGTTCGGCAAAGTGAGCGGTGGCGACTTAAAAGAGATCGTAGACTACTAGACTACTTAAATTCTGGAGGCAATACGCTCCGCCAAAGTGATTTTTAAGTTTATGCCATCCGATTGGCAGGCGCGATGACCTCCTCCACACTCGGATTCCGGCACGTCAAAGCCCGATTATTCAGCGGATTTATCCACTTAACTATTGAGCGTGGGAAAAGTTATAAAAGCTCAAGCCTCGCAGGTACTGGATGTAATATCTGTACACACACATAAATCCGTTTATTTATCATTAGATTAGCGCCATGTCTTTGACTTCGAGCAACGGCGATGGCGGCTCCTTGCCGTTCGATATTTCCGAATACCCGAAGCTGTCTCTAGAACAGGCAGGGCACCTCCGCCATTTCTACAATATCAGCTCTGCGGCGGATGGAGAATGGCCACACATGGGCTCTCAGGAGCCTGCGCAAGAGTTTCTCGATGCGTATAGGTATCAGCTTGCAACAATGGTGTATGCATCAGGGCTGACACACTACCACCGCATGCCTGTCATGCGTGGTCTCTTTAAGCCCCTTATCCGCCGCCTTATTAAGAAAATGCTGCACCGTGACGTGTGGAATTATTGGTACCTGAGTTCCCAGTCAGGTATTTTGCTTGACCCCGATTTGAAAGAGCTTCGTCGGCCGTGGGCAGACCCAGTTGTCCGAGAGAATATCATGTATAGTGGCCACCTGCTTCTCATGACGAGTCTCTACGCTATGTTGTTTGATGACGACGAGTTCGAGAAGCCGGGAAGCCTCACTTTCGAGTGGAAACCACTATTCTGGGGAATGGGTCCCGAGACATATGCCTATGATAATCGGAGTTTGCAACAGGCCATAATGAAGGAGATGGAGCGAAATGGTTGGGTTGGCGTTTGCTGTGAACCCAATCTGGTCTTTGTTGCGTGCAACCAGTTTCCGGTAAGTTGCCTGAACTATGAATATCTGGAACTGCTACTAATTCTGATAGATCATTGCTATGCGCCTCAATGATGCACGTGATGGTACTAAGGTGGTCAATGAAGTTCTTAAGAAATACAGAGCCGCCTTGGAGAAGAAGGATATGATTTCTCAGGATGGTCTATTCAAAGACTGGATCAGTGTAAAACAGGGTCATACGGCAACGGCTCAGAGTGTGGGCCTCACGGCTTGGTAGGTGCGATTCAGGATATCGCATTTTTCTAGGCTAACATTAGTCCAGGGCTGCTGCGTTTATGAATACGTGGAATTCTGAATTTGTCCGCGCTGGCTTCGAAAATCATGCTGTTGGGTTCATCACAAATATCGATGGACAAGTTGAGCTTCAACATCCCATGGTCGCAGGTGCTTACAGAGCAGCTCTGGCTCAAGGAGACGCAGCCAAAGGCCTGTCCCAAGTTCTACAGGGCGCGCGTGAGTTCTATAAAGCCAATAAGTCGAACATCAACTTTCCATACAACGAGCCAACTTTCGGGTATGTTGTTAAATGGCTCTCGGAGTTGGGAAAGGCGACAGAGCTAAATGGAATTCTTGCATACGCTGATAAGCACCTCCAACCAACCTGGGAAAATGGTGGTCTTTACTATCCTCGGAATGACCAAGCAACTGATAATGAAGGTCGCTGGACTCACATGGATCCCTTCTCGGGTAACACTGCTATTGGCTACTCGCGGTTGAATGTCGAGAATGGACAGAAGAAAATCTTTGAGGAGCCTTGGACAAAGGAGACATTGGCTAGTCGTCCATACGTGGATGGGCTGGATCTCTCACAGGGTGTTGATTGCTTGCGAGGATTGTGGGATCAGGATCGCAGCGCCCTCATTGTCACCGTCCGTGAATGGCCTGGACAAGGGGCTAACATCAAGTTTCGGGTTGAGAATCTCTCATCTGGTACCTGGACCGTTTATACTTCCCAGGGGCGCTTCGATGAGCATAAGGTCCTCAGCGGGGGACATATTGCCATAGATGCGATTATTAAAGCAAAGGAGGAGGTTGATTTTGTGGTTGTCAAAGGTGTTTAGTGTGACAAGCCGAGAAACTATAATCACTAAGAAACAACAAAGAAGAGGCCTGTGTAATCTATTAGAACTAATACGACTAGAGAAAAAAAGAAAAGTTATCTATATCCAGAGAATCGGACCAACTTTTTTTATGTCTTTGACACTAACCACCTGCTTGACGATTTTTTTTTTTTGATTTTTCCCTCTTTAGTAATTCAATTGGTTCTTCAAGTCTCTCAGCTTCTTTTGGGATAGCAAGTAGCGTTCAGAAGCACCTGGCTAGATCACATGACATAGTTTTATTTGCTTTGTTCATTTCACTTTATTCATTTATCTTAGAGTGGTTAACACCCAGGATAGAACAGTCTGATAGGAAAATTTATAGATTTTGTTAAGGCGTTTTAATGACACTGAAGTCCACTTCTGTCAGCAAGGTGGAAGCCTAGCCATCCCCAAGCGTGTATTCGAGTGAAATATGGAAGGCAGTGCAAACCATGCGGCGTGGCCTCTCAGGGCTTCAGGATGCTTCGTCCGCAGGGATGTAGCACTCATGTTTTCAGCTCAGGCACAGAAGCTGGGTATCGCCATCAATTTTGGTGTCGGCGTTACCAACTATCTGGAAGATTCTGCCATGGGCTTAGGAATTATACATACTGACGATGGACGAGAGCTGAGCGCAGATATCGTTGTAGCTGCAGATGGGTTTGGCACTAAGTCCCATTCCGTGGTCGTCGACTACCCTACCCGTGCTGTTAGTACTGGTTATTGTGTTGATTATCCTACAAGCATGTTGAAGGATGCGCCAGCCCTTTCGAAGGCCCTAGCTGAGTTTGGACGGCCACAATGGCGTATGTATAACGGGTAGGTGCTCCATATTTCCACCGATGTATCCTAGCGCATGATTATCTCTATTACAAAGAGACAAATGACATTTTGTTGTGTGCATTACAAAGGACGGAATTGCTATAAACTCGACACATGAGGTTCTAGCACAGTGATGAAGACCAGGGCTTGAGAATAATACTTAATCCCTCTCCAGGATGATGGCACGGCCACAGAATCGTGGTCGACCGGGGTTGCGCCGGAGCAAATGGCGGCAGCTGTCCCAGGCTTACAAAGTTGGTATCATCTCCCCGTTGAATCAATAAAGAACACACCACCTGACACTAACGTCCAGTGGAAGTTATGCTTGCGTAAACCCCAGCCCAACTGGACATCTGAAAGCGGGTGCATCGTGCAAATCGGCGACGCCGCACGCAGTCCACTTCCGCCATCAGCTAACGGAGCTGCTATGGCCTTAGAATACTCCATGTCCCTCGCAGGGTGTCTTCGTCTTGGCGGAAAGGAGGAGGCCGCTATGGCAACGAAGGTGCACCAGGATCTTAGGTGTGTCATTTTTGAGCTGTTTCCCCAAGGCCTTACGTTGATGTTTCTACACATACCAACGAACCGCCCTCATTCAACATTGTGGATTTGTCAACCGCCGTGAGCTGCTCAATACTTCGATGAAACAAGTGACTAAGGGAGGGAAAGCGTTTTTGTTCTATGGCAAGTGGCTTTGGCAACACAACGTTGACAAGTATGCTACTGCCAATTTTGAAGCAGCACGGCAGAGCATCGAGCTTGGAAATGCCTTCAAGAATACGAACCTGCCCCGGGGCCATGTTTCTCAAGACTGGACAATGGAAAGCCGGTTAGCGAAGGAGATGGCAGGTATTTTTATACAAGACCTAAACCTCAAGTACAAGTACACATAGTCAGCAATTCCAACAAGGAAGAATAGATTCTTTCGGTACGAAGGCTAACAATGTTTCGACCAAACGCATGCTTATATGTATGCTGCTCCTTAAGAATGCAACTGTGCGATTCCACGACCTTCTCTCTCGTCCTAATACCCGCCACCGTACGGCATTTGGCGAATAGGATTTCCTCTGAGCAGCTTACTAGGGCCTTGCTTCTGACACACAATCCAATGATATAGCGCTCGGGCAAAGCTGTACATGAACAAGGTTCGGTCAAAGTTTCACTTGCTCGGCATCTTGGATTTGAACTTCCTCTTTACTATCTGCAAGACCCAAGTCGCCAGCAAATATACTATAGGGCACTCATTTTCTATTAGGACAGAATAAGTATTCTTCCCATATTTTCGCAACGTTTCTTGCTTGTCAGTCAAGTCTACTTAAACTGGTCTTCGGTCACACCAGCGCCCATTGCCACCGTGCTACGGACCCCTGAAGTTACCATAGTCAGCAATCTATCCACATAGTTTGCGCCGCTCCACTTTTGATGGGTCACGACGTCCACCCCCTGCTCCATTTCCGGCTCCTGGACCAACACTCCGTAGGCCCGCATGCCATCCCGGATAAAGGCCTTCGAAAATTGATGGCTAATCAGTGCAGTCGTGTGAAGGCCGGCTAGAGTAATAAACTGCCAGCAATAGCCAAGTTTACTTAGTCGCGATATGATGGTTTCCTGATCTGCAGGCGCCATGGCAGCCTTCCAATTGAACGATGGGGATAGGTTGTAAGCCAGCCTGTATGCTACGTGAGCTACCGAATACGTATCACAAAACGACCAAGTTTTGGGAGAGGTCAATTAGGAAAGGAAAAGGGCGAGGAGAGCCAGAGAAGACTTACTTTTGCTCCGGCCAAGTGGCATGGACGCCTTCAGCGAACTCCTTCGCCTGGGCATAATCTGGACGGGCGGTTTCCATCCACAGAATGTCCGCAAAGGGCGCGAAAGAGATAGCCCGGTTCACGGCAGCTTTAGTCCCACCCTGGTAACGGTAAAAGCCCTCACGGGTCCGAGCTGACTCCCAGTCCCACTGAACATCCTCACCTAATAGTTCTCGCGCGAGAGCCCGAGCCTGGGAGTTGCTCTTGCCCGTCGACGCCATTAAATAGCGAGTAATTAAAGCCTCCTGGCCCATCTGCGTCGTCGCCCGGATCCGATCAACTACCGCATCGTCAAAGGTTTGCAGATGAGCCTGAGCCAGCCACTCAGTTTCAATGTTCTGCAAGGCCAGATCACTCTTGCCCGCCTTCTCGGCAGCAACCATAAGGTCATTCAATGGCTGCAGAGCGGTATTAGCCGTCCCGAGTATGAATGAATGGTCCCGGTCATCAATCGTCGAGGTGATGAGAGTGGCAGCCTCCGAATCTGTTCGGGCGATAACCACCAGATCCACCCCTAGTTGCAGATTAGCGAAACTTATATACGACCGACGCAAGGCTAGGTAATGAGTGGTCAGTCAGCGTGGCGGCGCGGTGGAACGTACCCATGATGTCCGACTGGGCTCGAATCGCCACCAGTCGGTTGATATGCTCGCCGATGGGGACCAACACCTTGCCGGACATGTGCCCGCACTTCTTGGTTCCTGGAGCCTGATCCTCAATATGAATACCTGCTGCACCGCTTTCGACAAACAACTTCGTCAGTTTCATAATTGCCGTCAACCCTCCGTGCCCGGTATCAGCGTCGGCGATAATGGGTCGCAGGTAGTCGATACTGGCAACCTTGTGACGGTCGGCCCTGGCTGTCGTGATTCGCTCTTCGTGCATTTTTCGGTCGTGAAAGAGCTGTGCCTTGAACAGCTGATTCACCTTCCGGGGGACAGTGTCCTAGTCATGGTCAGTCTATGATGCACACTGCTTGGCACGGTGTTTGCTAGCTACTCTACCATAGGATAGTCTGCCAAGTCGGGCGATGGCTCGTCCGTGGACGACGCTGTTGAGGAGCTCTGCCACCCAGAAACGTAGACAGTGTCAAGGAATTTGGCCATCTGTGTCATCATAGTGGGCTCCAGGCAGCCAAATGTGGTACTGGCTGTTTTTATCTATTCGTCGAATAGAAATCAATTATCATGATTAATGTATACTTGGATCAAACAAGTATAAGAAGTGACGCGCTTACCTCAAAATGGCGGTCGAGGATCCCCCAGAGCTTCTTACTCTGCGCATTTGAAGGATACTCAATCTTGAGATTGCCGCGCTTTGCGACCACCATCTCCGCCGTGAACGGACGCTTCGTATGCCGCCAACGGGCATCTCTCCACCACTCCTTGACGGCCTGGACTTCATTCATATACTTCTGGTCCTCCAGCTCGAGGTCATTCATGTGGGATGACATTATCGCTTACGGCTCATGAGCAAAAATAGGTTGTCTGTTAAAGTGGCAACTCCTGAAGGTGATTCTCTTAGAAATTTGCGCTCTGGAGATTGCGTTGGTTCTTGCTGAACAGCGGAGGGGAACATGAATTTTAATGCAGTTCAAGTGTCGACCAAGCATAATTTGATCGGCCTGGCTGGACGGCTTGAATTTCCCCATGTCCGAGACTGCGTTTGTAGACGTGGGGAAACACCTCGGTCAATTGCTTGTATTTTCCCTGCTATTCCTATAGTTGCATCTACGTGTAGGGTATTGCGGATCTGGCGGCTTGATTTCCCCAGACCTCGGTTTTCAACTTCAAGTACTCGAATATGCCTAATACAAGGAACTTCCGCCGGCCCGCAAGTCGTCACATCTCGGTAGATGTCTTACAAGTCGCGTTTCTCCACGGACGTAAGGACTTTCCGCTGGTCCTTGATGCAAAATTCCGAGCACGGTGGGGCTGCCTTGGATACATGTTAAGCTTCACATGTCGATTACATGATTAAGTCGACCACAGGCTACCTTCGCATGATGGGTATTGAATATTGTAAAAAGGTACTTCAAGATGTAAGGAATGAGCGCCTCTCTAGGGTTCAAGGTCATCTTCCTTCTACGAACCAATCCCTGTCTGTTCTATACTTTGAGTGAGGATGGACTTAAAAGGATTTCATGTCATTAACCAGGTTAGAAAACACAAAATATCTACTCAATCATTATCAAATAATGTATACGCATGATTGGCAGACGGATACGATCTTAAGTCACACCTTCTCTAAAGTTTGGGCTGACGCTGTCCACTCAGAATTTTTCGCGCACCTTCACGCATTGACCTCACAATGTCCCCTGCGGACATAATTTCTCTGATGAGTCCAACCCCAGTCCCAGCATACGTGGTGAGTCTCCCCTTAGGACCGTAGCCTATATCACCACGATTCAATTCTTCACGATAGAGCTCGCGGTTTTTGACCTCACTAAGGCCGCCGAGATGGTCAAGGTAGGTACAGTTTATCAGACCACGGCCATCATATCCCTCTGGCCAGCCATGAATGTCGCGAACTTTATCGTATATCGTTGTTCGAACGGTGGATATGCCGCCATCGCAGGCATCCAGAATCGCCTTTTGATAGCCATAAGCGACCATAGATTCAGGACTAGCAAGGAAACGCGTTCCAAGCACACACCCTTCAGCACCCAGAGCCATAGCTGCGACGACACCTCGACAGTCGCTGATTCCCCCAGCAGCCAAGACATTGGCTCGCTTCTGAGGGTAGCGACGAAGCTGTCGAAGCTTGTCGGTGATTTCTGGCACAAGGGAAACAATGCTGGCTCCTCGAGCTAGTGAATGTCCACCAGCATCCAGTCCCTGCACCACAATGACATCCGGGTCGATGGTGTTGACAACCTTTACAGCATCGGAAACAGAACCGACTTGAACCCAGATCTTGGTCCTCGATGCGGTGGCCTCTCTGATCTTGGTTGTCCAGGGAATAAGGTCCTGAAAGCCCTTTGGTGGAGCAAAGAGCCAGACAGCAGCAGGGCAGTATCTGGAAAAAGAGGGGAGAGCCTTTTCCAGAGAGGCACTCCAGGTTATAAACCCCACACCAACAGGCAAGGACTTTGGGACTCCGTTCTCACTCTCCACCGGAGTGTCTGCTTGGCCTTCTTGAAGTAGATCTTCGGCTTCCTCTAGGAGGTCCTCAAGGTGGTCGCTGTGATATCCTGCTGCAATAAACCCTAGACCGCCTGCCTTGGAAACAGCCACGGCAAGTTTTGGCATAGCGACTTTGGCCATGGGCGCCGACACTATGAGCGGAGACGTTACCCAGGGGTAGTCGGCAGCAATCTTGTTTGGTAGACTGTCGAGGAGAGACATTTTGGATACGATGCGAGGGAAATTTGAAGATCAGGAAAGTGTTTTGGACCGGCTGGAAGGGCAAAGGAAAAAGCAAGCTTAAGTAGAGAATCTTTGATGAGAAAGTAGTAACAGAATGAACACGTTGAATACCTATATAGTAAGGCAGTCTGTCTTGTAATACTGTATAGAAATTCAATTTCTAAACTTAAAATATCTTGCCTATTAGAAACCTAGGAGACTTGGATTTTGATATATAGAAACTTAATAAAAATCTAATAAATCTAGTGATATAGTTTAAAAGATTTTCATAGATATATATCATAGTGCCTTAGTATAAAATACATGTGTTATATTAATGAATTTGATCCATAGGCGGGCCGTCCGAAACAGTCTTTTCCACAGATCACTGTTTAACTTAAACCCCAGATTTGATTCGTTGAGTAGCTGTGACAAGAATCACGAAAACAAGGTTAGATATTCGCCACCCTCCGCAATACCCGTCCAGTTTCCACCCCCGGAAAGGCCGACAAGGAAGGACCGAGGCTGTGGGGTTGTGGAGGTTAGGACGGCGGAGGAAAGTGCGGGGGTCGGGATTATCGAGAGTCGCAGAAAACCCCCATGAACCATCGTCGCTATGGATTTTTCAGAGGCGCTGGGCCAAGGGGAGCTTATCGAAGCGGCCCGCAATACCCGTTTGGACCCATCCTGCCAGGTTCTATTTTCCTCAAGACATACATAGCCACTTAAATACCTATATGCCACCTTACTTACAAAGTCTCGTCACATCACTCCTTGCGAACCAAGAGTATCAGCTGTGCAATCTCGACACGCTGCCTATCTCGTTAAGAATTCCCCAGTCGAAATGGCTTCCAACACTGCAGCCACTGCCTCAACAGGCTTAATGGTGCATATGAACCATCACCGTATCGAGTCTCCTGCTGATACGCCTAACTTCATCGATAATGAGTTCCGGCCTTCCCAGGCTACCAAGTGGTTTCCAGTCCATGATCCCGCAACGAACAATCTTGTCACGCGTGTCCCTCAGTCCACGCCAGAGGAACTCGCTGCAGCGGTTACCTCTGCTCAGAATGCGTTTCCGGCATGGCGGGCAACCAGTATTATTGCGCGACAGCAAATAATGTTTCGCTTTACCCATCTCATAAAAGAAAACCAGGACCGCATTGCAGCGTCAATCACCTTGGAGCAAGGGAAAACCTTCAAGGATGCTCGAGGGGATGTCCTACGTGGACTTCAGGTGGCTGAAACAGCCTGTGGTATTACCACTCAGCTTCCAGGAGAGGTCCTTGAAGTTGCTCGAGACATGGAGACCAGAAGCTATCGAGAACCTCTGGGCGTTGTCGCTGCTATCTGTCCATTCAATTTCCCTGCCATGATTCCCCTCTGGTGTATTCCGATTGCTGTCGTGACCGGAAATACAATGGTTCTAAAACCATCTGAAAGAGATCCCGGCGCTGCTTTAATTCTCGCCGAACTTGCTCGGGCGGCAGGTTTCCCCAAGGGTGTTTTGAACATCATTCATGGGTCAGTCGACACCGTGAACTTCATTCTTGATGAGCCTGTCATTCGCGCAATTAGTTTCGTCGGTAGCAATCGCGCTGGGGAGTATATTTTCGCTAGAGGCTCAGCCAATGGAAAGCGCGTGCAAGCCAATCTCGGTGCGAAAAATCATGCTGTTCTTCTGCCAGATGCAGATAGGAACGCCGCTCTAGATGCTATCGTCGGTGCTGCATTTGGGGCAGCAGGACAACGGTGTATGGCGCTGAGTGTACTTGTTACAGTCGGCGACGACGCCGATTATATCCCTGCTCTGATCGAGAAGGCACGAGGTCTAGTTGTGTCTGCTGGCTTTGAGAAAAATGCCGACGTCGGTCCGGTGATCAGCCCTGAAAGCAAGGCTAAGATTGAATCTCTCATCACCAGTGGTGAACGTGAGGGTGCCACGATTGTTTTGGATGGCCGAGGGTACAAATCTGAGAAATATGCCAATGGGAACTTTGTACGTGAAAGACTTTCTTCAAATTGCCCCTTGTGTTTACGTTGCCTTGCGTTTGCTAATCCTTGCCTTGCTCATTCTCTCCAGGTGGCACCTACGATTCTAACTAATGTTACAACGGACATGAAATGTTACAGAGAAGAGATATTTGGCCCTGTTTTGGTTTGCCTCTCTGTGAAAACCCTCGAAGAAGCCATCCAACTTGTCAACGCAAATGAGTATGGCAATGGGGTGAGTATCTTCACCAAGTCTGGAGTGTCCGCTGCATATTTCCAAAAGAATATTCAGGCGGGACAGGTTGGTGTCAATGTTCCAATACCGGTCCCACTTCCCATGTTTTCCTTCACTGGAAATAAGAAGAGCATCGCGGGCGGAGGAGCAAATACGTTCTATGGAAAGCCTGGACTGGCTTTCTACACCCAGCAGAAAACTGTGACCAGTCTTTGGCGCCGAGAGAACACTGGTACTGGCAAGCAAGTTGTTATGCCGTCTCATCTATGAAGCCTTTCATTCAAGCCGTTGTGTCCAAGACCGTGAAAAACAAACCTCGGCGATCCTGAGACGTATACCTTTCAGGTCGATATAGCATCCAATTTGCCGGGAGAATTGAATGAATCAACATTTGCTTCTTTCTAATGTACTACAACGTATTCATGCTAGATTGATTTAGTTAATCTGGTATTTTCTTGTCCCATATGTTACACATTCCTATATATAGTAACCAATTGAGGGTTCAGGCGTTCATTTCCCATACGGATTCTCTGGCCGGGATGATCGTGTTAGCCTGCTGAGTGTTACTTACCTGCTTTTCTTCGACTATTCGCTATTTATTACTGCTCCATTACTCTTGCGCAACCCGAGCTGCAAGCGCCCAGCCGGAGATTCACAAAAAAAAGAAAAAAAAAAAAAAAAAACTTCGGACCAATGCACCGCCCCGGAAGGGCGGGTATTGCGGGAACCAAGACTTGGACAGCCCGTTCAACTCCAAGTCTACTATATCAACCATGTTTTAGACCTTAGACATGACACTATGAATACGGATCTCATTTATCTCTACAGTGAGACTGGAGCTAAGAATCCAATTATCATTCCAAATCGAGTTAATTCTTTTTAGTATAGCATTGCATCGATACCTCATACAAAAATACCGTACCACGAAAAGGATTAACTCTCGAGAATGCGCGGAAAGTATAAATATTTAATGCCACAGCCTTAACTTTCGTGGCGCTTATAGAAAGCCAAAAGAAAAGATTGATGCCTCCGCGGAGATGATCCACACTCTTAAACGGAATCTGGGGGAATTATGATGGGGCCCCAATAAGTCCATTGACGGCAGGATGGGGTTATTTCCCCGCATTATCCTAGAAATCGGTTGCTACGGTCCCATAAAGAAGAAAAGGAACCAGGTATCTGGACTAAGATCTTTTTTCTCTCTGAAAGTATTCAAGATACCAACTTGACAATATGTCTGCAAAGCCCACGAATACGCAAATAGAAGGGGACACGGAGATGCTTTCTCATATGCCCACTACTGATAGCATCATGTTGCCCATTCCCCGGGATACGTTCGAGAAGCTTTACCTGACTCCTAAGATGCCCATTGCGGGAAGGCTGCGGCAGACGTTTGGCAACCCAACCCCAATCTCACTAATGGGGTTCTTAGTATCCGCAACACCTAATGCAATGCTCCACATGGGTTGGAGGGGCGCTGGCGGGGATGGAGGGGCTATTCTGTAAGATCAAGCCAGGTAGAAATGTCCAGGTGTCAATTGATAGTCCGAATCTAGTCCGGCATATATCGCTTTTGGTGGGATGACGCAGATAATCGGTGCAATTGGAGAGTGGATAATTGGAAATACCTTCTCCTGTGCGATATTTTTCACATATGGTAAAACATCCCATCTGTTACTCAGACATGAGATATTGATGCATAGGTAACAGGAGCCTTCTGGCTGGCGCATGGTGCGTCCTTGATGCCGTTCTTTGCAGTTGGTGCCCAATATTCCTCCACAGGTGACAGCCTTGGGGGTATGGAAACAGCAGGATTCCATGCAACGGCAGGTAGGTAATGCACCAAGCCGAAAAGGCCATGGGCCTTTCCTAACATTTTATGATAGGTCTATATTATGTTACTCTGAGTGTGGTTACCTTCGTATTCCTCATCTGTTCCATTCGCACGAACGTGTGCCTATTCCTCGCGCTATTATTCTTGACGGTGGCATATAACCTCTATGCAGCAGTTTATTTTACCACAGCCCTCGGACAACAGGCGTTAGCAGCCAAGGTGGAAATGGTATGTGATCGGAACTCGTACTTGCCGAGTGCGTTTCATTCTGTTTCTGCAGAAACTTATTCTAACTTCTTGGTTTTAGGCTGCGGGTGCATGTAACTTCATACTTTGTATTCCGATATGGTACATCTTTGTGGCCCAAATGTTGGAATCGATTGATTTTCCTTTTGTGTTGCCTGTTGGAGATTTGAGTGAGGTTGTTTTAGGAAGAAATCAAAAGGCGCAGAGAAAGGTGGATTGTGAGGGATAGGTCACCCTCCCTCTCACTGTGCCGGACTTTGTGAGCTTTCCCCTGGTTGTACGTTCATCCCAGTAGCTTCGTGAATCATGTCGCCATTCCAAGTTGGTTCCTTGGTATAATGGATTCCAGATTTCCCAACCTTCTCTCATGTGTATTAGAATGTTAGTTAACGTTTGGTCACGTCTATCTTGGGGATGTAAGGATAGATACTCAGCAGGGCAGGTGTCTATTTACTAGACGAAACTTTGACTGGAAATAGATATTAGAACCTAGGATAAAATTGGAGATGACTTGTCAATGTCCTTAATTAAAAAGAAGCTCTACTGGGTTAAGAACCAAAGAAAACTTTGACCCGTCCTTAGCGGCTTGGATCAACAACAAGAAAAAAAAGTATTGATAGTAAATCTGAAATCAGTTGCTCCGGTCAGCCTTTTTGCTGGTATGCCAGTGAACATGCACTCCGGTAAATTCGCTAAATTCAGCCACAATACTTGTTGCATGAAATCACGTTTTATGAATCCAGTCGGGAAGCTGATCGGGGAATACTGACGTGTGAGTTAATTAACTTTGGGTCTTTCGGGTTCTAGAAGGATGCAAGGGAACCACTGTCAAATTTACTGTAGATATTTGAACGTACGGGGCACGCTAGAAATACTACTCTGCTCTTAGTGGTGTATGTGACTACGCGGTATATAATTGAAAGGTTGCTTCACCCACCGGTTTGCCGTCTAACATATGCAGTACCGGTGGCACCCGCAGCACCCGCACATGCCGCCCGCCAAATCGTAGCAAATCTAGATTTCAGAATTCCATAGAGAGCCATTAGCTTCCCAGACGAGTAGCGTCAGAACTCATCGCGCTCTGGAATCTCTTCGTGTATTCAAAAAAAAAAAAAAAAAAGAGATATATATATATTTCTAGTCAATTCTTAGCATGTAAAGCGTTTCGGAACTTGCTAACATATTACTGCCACAGTTATACGAGACCTTACTCACGAACATTGTTACCTTTTGTCTCATGGTTGTCTAGATACGAGGTCGAATCCCGCCTACATAGTTTCCAAAAATAGATGGACCAAAACAACTCCTCATGTACAGGTTGCTGGTCCCCAGGATCCGTCGGTGAGGTGTCACGTAAATGCCGTCAAGGGTAAGTTATGCATCTTTCACAACTTTACGGTATCGTATCCCTATATGCTCACTGAAACGTCTATACTAGGACCCCCAAATACAACCAACTTCCTAGCTACATTGAATCTGTACCATCTCACATCACGCAGGATGTCCTGCAATTCCTGAATTCTAAGCATGCCGTCTTAATACCGAATGATAGCGTTAGGCAAGCTCTATGGACGGCATATTGGAAGTACGCACACCCATGTATTCCTGTGTTGGATGAAGTTCAAATGAAAAAGTCGATAGAAGGCTGTGGAGAAAGAACCAGTTTGTTACTTTACCAATGTGTCATGCTCGTTGGTCAGGTGTTCCTCATTGCATACGAGGGTCCACGCTGCCAGTTTAGTGATACCCAAGAATTATTCGCAAAAGTTCGAGCACTCTATGACTTTGGCTGGGAGACGAGACCATTGACAATCCTGCAGTCCTTGGTGCTCATGACTGTAATTCCACAGAAGGTCAACGAACCCAAGGGACAGGCCTACTTCGTCGGGCATGCAGTCTCTATTGCTTACAAAGTGGGTCTACACCGTGATCCTGCAAACTTGCACAGCAAGCCATCCGTTTGTCACTTGCGAAAACGTCTATGGTGGACTCTCTTCATCCGAGAGCGTACTTTGCTCCTTGATCAAGGAACCCCATGGATAATAGACAATACTGATTATGATGTGCCAATGATAACAATTGATGACTTTTGCCTACCCGATGTCTGCCATGATGCAGGAACACAAATCCCTCTGGTTGACTTGAACTATATAAGCAGGCAGCGCAAAATTGCCATCATGTGGATCGAAAGAGCCAAGCTAGCGGTGATTCTGGGACAACTCCCACCCATTTCAGTCCGCATTTCAGAGAGCAATTCCAGCATCTTTGAGAAGCCATCGCTCCAGAGTGGTCTGCCTCATTTTCAGGAATCTTTCAATGATACAGCAAAGGGTCTCGAGAGGTGGCATAGAAATGTCGCCCCCGAGCTTGATTTCGCCCAACTGAGTTCACCTGCTGCATGGGCAGGTGATCACGAACTATATTTACAGTGCACAACTCTCAAGCTGTTATACCATACTGTGAAGTTTCAATTGGCTGTCTTACTAGATCTCCTCAGAAGACAGAAACAAAGAGTCAAATCTCCCCGGCAAAGAACCCATCGGGACGTTAACGAGAGTTGCCATGCCATAATGCAAATCACACAGGAACTTCAGCTCTATGGGTGCGCGGTTCATGTTCCTCTTTATGGAACATCTGTTCTACGGCCCATTCTTATATGGGCGATACTAGATGGCGTACTTAATAGAGAACCTCGCAAAAGCTCTGCATTGAATCCACTACAATTTGACATTGTTAGGGTGGATTCTTATGAATGCCTTTTTAAGGAATTTATGGTGTGTAATACAATATGAACCTTTGGGATAACACAGATCTCCATATATTCGGATATCCTTGCCAAATAAGCGAGTTTTTTTGGTTCTCTTGACCATGCTGCAAGGTCTTGAAGGGCATCCGTAAACGCTTTCGAAAAGACGTTGAAATCTACTATTGAGTTTAGACGCGCTGAACCTAGATCGCGGAGAAACAATTACAGTTCAAGGGATTCCATAATATAGCAATCGTAACTTGATTGTTCCTTCTTTCTCCAACTACAGTCGCTGTATGCCAACATTATGCCTATGACCCCACTATACCCCTCACGGTTCATCTCACTCTTCTTGGGTGGGAAGAGGGGAAGCTTTGATTGCTTCAAAGGTTCCCTAAAGCAGTCTCATAAGAGCGGGGTAAGGCATGAGATCCTCGAGTCAGAAGCCCTCTGAAACGCCAACACAACCCCGATGGCTTTCGTGATGACGCCACTTCTTGGTGTATTGCCTTTCACTGGGCACCCACGGGTATTGCGGAACAATCCAAATACGGGGTCCGCTACGGGTGGAGATGAACAATCCGGGGTTTGCCGCGTGGAGAGATAGTAAAAGGGGGCGGGGATATAACTCCACCCAGAATACGGGGAAGCGGATCCCAAAATCAAGAGAAGAAAGCATTTATAATACTTAAGTCGAACGTGTGAATAATGGCGTCACTTAAGAGTAGTGTACGGTAAAAGGTTAAATGGGGATGAGAGCGGACCTTAGCTAGGGCTAGCCAGTTAACTACCATAGTCTGCTGCCAACTCATCAAATTGCTGATTGGAATACTACATATACACAATAAACATAGAATACCTAATATGGAGCAATAAGATATTTCGTGCTCGGTGATCTATATTCAGGCGCTTGTGCCATAGTGGGATACGTAGATCAACCCGATATCCTATATCCCAACCTAAGACATTGTATGAACCTGCATGTGAGCGCTCTTTAAAACATGTCTTTGTACTATCGTATATACTGATAAATTTCCTCGGTAATTTGATTTACAGTTATCCTTCATTTGATCACATGGGTGAGGAGTGCGGTTTTGATCACGTCAGACTCAGAGAATATAATTGCATAATACGGGGTACGAACAGGATGAGATCGACGTAAGGACGAGAACTGAGAGGTCCATTTAACTAAGTACCGAGAAGAAATTATTGAACTATAGGGCTGCTGGAAACGGTGGGCCAGATATGCTCCTCTCCCCACAATAGCTGCGCAACCGCAGGATGACACGGTCCCTCAAGATATTTTCTGCCCAATGGAAAGGTAATTAAAACACGGTTCAATATAACAATGTAAATTTCGACCTATCGCAATGTCTCGCTCGGATTTGGGCTAATCAACCGTTTTCCCATAGACGTCAGGCCCTTCCGTTTCTTACCCACCGAGGGGCGTAAAGCTTGTATGCCACAGGTTCTGGAGTTGGCCGGGGCCGGTAGTAGGATAGCTAAACATGCCATCGAACATTCAAAGCACTGGTACGCGAGTTACCATGATTTTTATATGTTCCGGTGTTAACTCTACAACTATGTAGCGACGTCCTCGGGACTGAACCTTCACTCTGTAGTCCAGCATCACATACATGCGCGCTCCTCGCTGCTTGCTGAATTATAAGTAGACTTATGAAATGTATTGTGGATGCCTTGAAGCCCAACTGATTCTGGGTTAAGACAGTTGACTTGGATGGGTCTTTCATGACGTGAAATTTTCTTCCATTCTATATGTCCGCTGGAATAGAAATAGTGGTCACCATGCTAGTGCGAAGCATCGTCTGTATTATATCAAGGGCAAATCCGAAAAGTCTTGGCTTGATAGCAGAAGAAACAAACGGTTTACCTGCCACTAGATTATGTGCCATTCTTATTAATCTTCCACAGTCTTTCGCGAAAGGACTATAAGTTGCGCTTGCCTTGGTAAGTCTTATTCTGGAAGATCTCAATCATCCTTGTCACATTCCTATCTCAGGCGGGAGAAATTGGGTCCCCAACACGTCACAAAGATCCGACTCTATCAATAAACTATCCAAACCCTTACTATCTCCATAGACGCCGGGGAAGGATTCAGTACTTACCCAGGACAAATCAGGTTTTCCACTCCAAAAAAGCGTGTTTCTTTGTCGTGCTGATGGTTCATCTTTCATGACTAGCATGCCACGTAATCCCCAGTCATACAACCGGATTGTTGTCAAATATACCAATGAACGAGGACTCAGGGTCGGACTCCTTGACATGCTTTTGGAAGAATTCCAGACTAGCTGGCAAGAGGTGGGACTGAAACATCATGGTAATCGAATCGCTCATGAGAAGTTTCCCATCGTCAGACAGGATAGAATGAATGACTTTGAGGAACTCGTCCATTGAGGCGTATATGCCTTGTCCGCCAAAAGCATTACGCAACCCCTTCAGTCAGAAAGGACTGCTCAGTGCCGTGAACCGTCCCGAAGCCTCATCTCGAACTGAGATTCCAACCTTTCTCTTTCCTCCGCTAACATTTGCGGGCCAGAAACTCATCCGTTCGATACCAAGAGGCTCTCAAATATGCCTTTGAATGTAAACTTCTATAGAGTTTGCCCTGTTAAAAGCTCAACGAGTTGTCCAACCCAGTCAATCCCTGTACCATATTTCCATGCGGTGTCCGGCTCGAAGGTCAGCGGGTAGCCAAATCGCTCACCAATTGTACTTCCAGAATTGATGTTTCGTCCCCTATAAGCCGTAAAGCGGGCAAGGTCAGGGTTGCTCATATCGTAGCCTGCTCCACTACCGTGTGTGAGAAGGTTTCGGAGGTTGATTTGGTTTTTCACGGTTGAGTACGTGGTCGGCCTGCCGCATCCAAGCCCTGCAATATGCCTTGAGAGGCTAATGTTGGTGTCAAGGATGACACGTCCGTCTCGAGATCCACAAGTCGTTTCTCAACTAGCTGAAGAGCAGCAATAATGGTCAGGAGCTTGCTCATGGATGCAAGTGCCATGATGGAGCTCATGGCGAGTGGCCTTCCTTCAGGCGTACAATCCTCTTTTCCGAAAGCTTCGGCGTAGTGGAAACTTCCACTTTTGTTTGTTGCTGCAACTACCACACCAGGCCAAGTCGCATCCTCCAAGGACGTATCAAAATGCCCTTTCGAGTCCCTCTAGGGGATTTTGGGAGTGACTATTGCAAAACATGATGTTTTGAATTGTATATTCACTAGGAAATCCGGTAAACCCACGACGTGGAAACGTGCTTGAAGAGGTAAGCAGCAAATAAATAAGACTTCGAGTAGGTGAAGAGGGTTTCTAAGTTTGGAAACCGGGCTTTGCGGGCCCGGGTCTTTAAATACAGCTTTCTTTATGCGACAATTTCATTGGCCACCATATCAAGAGCTCACAACAAAACGTGGTATTCTTTGCTTGTCTAAACCAGAGACTCAAGGCTACGGCAAGTGCGGCAATTACGGAATGGTCGCCCCGGCCCGCAACACTGGCGGTGGCGCTAAGGGTTTTATCAACTAGAGTTCTTAGGTTAGGAGTGTAGTGGTCAGTAACTGCAGGTGCCAAGCTTCGAGGATAGTGAAAAATGGCATTAACCAAAACGTTACTATCTGGCCTTTGTAGTTATGATCGGCCTATCTGCCTTAGAACTTTGCGATGTCCTTTCTTATTAACGTCTCATATGCCACAAAAGTTGACATCAGAGCACTAAATAAACCAATCATTTTGCAATATCATATAAACAATTAGCCGAGGCATATCCGCCCCTTAGGTTGAGCCAGAGTCTAGACTGACATACTTGTCTGGTGTGGCTGTAATCTTGCTGACATGGCTACTTGATAGTACCTCATATCAATATCAGATATAGATACGAAATGACATAGGAATCAAACAGTCAGAGAACACCACGCTGGCGAGCAAAGGAATGATGAGTTGCAATGAAGGCTGGCGTAGTAGACTGCCCTGCTGCAAGTCCAATTACCCCTATATTCGTATATGGTTGGTCAGATAGCGCTTCCCCAGTATGGTCGCCGTCAAGACTTACCACAGGCAGGCCGCGCACCCGCATTTCCTGTCTTTTTGGATTCGACATTTCCACCACGGCCAAGGTCGTCACAGCCAGCGTGAATGACAATAGTCCGCTGAAAGGATGTAAGTACGGGTCTGTACAGTCAAGGGACTTTGTGACAAGCTTACGCCTATAATACTTTCTGGTCCAATTAATTTAATCAGTCCGTCCTGCATAGTCCCTTCTGCGTTTCCATTTCCATCAGTTCGAAAATTCCCCAAGTCACCCACGTGCCGTTCAAGGTCATCCGGGGCACCATGCGTCTTTCCGAATGGATTAACTGCAACCTATCGTGAGGAACAGCCGCAAAATGCATTAAACGAATTCAAAGGTAACAGGGAGCGTACAGTGAGGGCCTGCTGAAGTACAGCCGTTGGTATTATCACCGAACTCGTGGATGTGGAAACCCCGTTCGCTGTTGGGATCGTTTCCACGGAGACTCCACGAGATTGTTGTTGGCGCTATCTCATCATATTGTTCGAATGTAACAGTACCACACACTGTTGAATCACCTCGTACCGTTGCAACTATTGCGTTATTTCAGCTTATGATCTAGGTCCCACCTGGTGAATTGGGTAGACGAACTTGCTTGGACCATTGCCGTGATTCAGGGTATGTGCGTATTGTGTGTGTATAAAAGTAGGACAATCATGCCAGAATCATGAAAACGAACTGACCGAACTACACTACGCTTGTATTGATTTATATAGTTCCAGCCCATTGGGCCCCAGATCCGTTCATATGCTGATTCCGTGTTGGTGACATCAACGCCCGGTATTTTTGATAATTGCGGTTATAACGGCTATTGCGGGCATCTGTGACCGTGGCCAAGTAACCTTTTCCTTGGCAAATCGGAGAGCAGATCAAACCTTCCTCTCTTTCTAGATAGATTTCAGTGCCGTAATGTCACCATTTTGGTGGTACGCTAATATTATAACGCTAGATGTGACACACAGTGATCAGGCCTGCCGTCCAGAAATCATTAGGCTCATTTCTTAATCGTATATTTAAGACCTCCATCTTTAGAAACATGCGTTCACTCCAATCGCCCAGCTTCAGCTCCAACGCGTAGCCTTATCCAAATTTCACTTTTCAATAGATATGACAGCTAAACAATCAATCCACCCCTTCCGTCAATGACCTAAGACGACGGTCCTCGTTATTTAAGGTCCCCGCGTGATATTCGAGGGACCGCCCTTACGACGGCTTTATTGGCTACTTCATGTATTGGGTTGGGTTTCATCGCTTGCGGAGATAACGTTCCATCGTTGGGGAGCGAGCCCATTGAGGCTCATGGACAACCGACTTGTGGCAAGCACAAAGCTTGCCAGCCCCAATTGCCCAAAGTTCTACCAACCAGTATCGTGAATGTGTTGCGAATAGATTCCTGAACAATAAACATTGTTAATTGCCGGTATGATACCTTCACATTGGGAATATTTCGGAGGGCGAGCTAGCATGTTGAGTTGTAGACTTGGCCCGTTCTGTACGGCAACGGGATAGTCGAAATGTCCCAGTATATCGAATCAGTGGGGGGTAGGCGGGAACTGACGAACATTCATGTGCCAGAAGCCGCCATCTTCAAAGCTTATCCAAGGCCCATCTCTCTTCGATATTTCGTTCCTTAGCTAGAACACGAAGCTGGAATTATCGGTGTTATTCAAACACACTGAAGCTGTTGTGGTATCTGCAGCACTCCGTTCGGGTCCCGTTCGAAAACCTTATCTAATTTCCGGTGTAGGCTATCAGTGGGCGACAAGGCCCGGACAACAGAGATCCATCTTATCCGAGTTCGACATATAGTATAGCTCTCTCCAAAAACGATTTTAATTTTCTGTCACGACGTTGGAAGACTATCGATATTCCGAGCGCATTCCCGCAGCATGCAAAATGGCTACGATGTTGTTCGCCGGTGTTCGAGAACATGGTGATAAAAAAAGTGGCCATTGGTCAATTGGGGAAGGAAGAGCATTTCCACCGGCCCCTAATAAAGAGCTTTATCTCGTTTACTTTGACGGACCTAATAATCCCCTAATTCCTCGAAATTGGCTATCAACCACGAAATAAGTATCACTTTCTTTTTGTCTGGCCCTTCTGGTCTGATCCTGTCCCCGTCTGCCCCTTCTTGTTACTTACCCTACCTACACAATCATTCACCTTCACGATTATCAGTAATATTTTGAGTTCTTGGTGCGCTAACACCGATATAGTATGCTATACTTATGTCCTCCATATTGGCATGTTCTGGTACATCCATTGCGTCCCTGAACAGCGCCATGTTCTCCCCGGGAATTGACAAGGCTAGCCGTATATTTGGGGTTGGGACGGACGTGATTACTCCCTGTACGGTACTCTTCCTTCTGGGCTTTGCAACGTGGCCGATGATCTGGGCGCCGATGTCCGAACTCCTAGGCAGGAGATTACCATTATTAATTGCCATATTTGGGGAAGGCATCTTCACCATTGGTTGTGCGGTTGCAAAGGATATTCAGACACTCATTATATGTCGATTCTTCGCTGGAGTATGTGGCGCTAGCTAACTGAGCGTTTTGCCTGGTTTACTTGCCGAACTTTATAACAATACCTATCGAGGTGTCACGATTGCTGTATATGCTCTGACAGTATTCGGGGGACCGTTCGTTGCACCTATCACTGGCGGGTTTACAGCGTCGAATTATCTTGGTTGGAGATGGACACTGTATATCCCAGCTTTTCTTTCATTTGCTACCAGCTTGCTCTCGCTATTCTTTTTAAAAGAGTCATGCGCCCCCTCCATTCTCGCTACCAAGGCTGCTTTGCTTCGAAAAAACCTGGAAACTTGGGCGTTCATGCGAAGCAAGAGGTTGAGCTTGATATTGGCAATCTAATCGAAAAGTACTTAACCCGGCCGCTAAGACTTCTTATAACAGAGCCTGTCCTTCTTCTGATATCGCTCTACATGTCATTCATCTACGGCTTGATGTATGCCCTCCTAGAGACATATCCCTACGATTTTGAGCACATATATGGTATGCAACCAGGTGTTGCGGGCTTGACCTTTATCAGCCTGATTGTTGGTATCCTCTTGGGACTTGCCTTTATCCTCTCACAGCGGTAGAAGTATACCAAAAAGCTAGTGCACAGCAACAATAATCCCGTCCCCCGAATGGCGTCTGCCTCCAACAATGATTGGAGCTCCAATATTCACTACTGGAACTTGTTGGTAAGGTTGATTCCATGATGTCGAAAATGTACCTAATGGAATCTTAGGTTTGGTTGGACTGGTTTCACCTCTCAAATCCACTGGGCTGCGCTGGCTGTCTCGAGTACCTTTATTGGCTTCGGCGTACTTTGCGATCTTCCTCCCGTGCCTTAGTTCTTTCGTAGATGCCTATTTATCGGTTTTAGCACCGCCTTCATTTTCATGCTCGACAAGCATCTCACACGATATATAGCGCCGCATCTGCTGTAGCAGCCAGCATTATCCTTCGATCTGCTTTTGCACCCAGCTTTCCCCTCTTTACTCGGCAAATGTTCTCGACTATGGGAGTACCATGGGCAAAGCACTCTGCTCGGTTGTTTAGCGGCAGCTTTGGTTCCCATTCCTTTCTTCTTCTCGATAAAATCTATGAGGTATCCTTGAATGTGCATCAGTACAATGCCCAACCCATGATGCAATGGACCCCTTCTCCATCAATCAGTTCTGATCACTTAGAACATTACGACCGTGATCGTTCTTGATTGCGCACGAACATCAGCACCATGCGCGGGTCTTCTATACCTGTAGAAGTCGCATTTTAGACCTTGGAACCTTGAATCAAAGCTCAATCTTTGGTGGCGACACGTAGAGATAGACAGTACATAGACAAGTAAAAACATGCGACATACAGCCTATAGCAGCGACTGTACTAGGAAGACCCAGAAGAACAGCGGCGGTTCTATGATGCAACGGTCCACTGATTTGCCACTGTGGTAATTATCCTATACCAGAATGGTAGTATGCAATACCCTCAAGTCCAGTCAAAAGGCAGGTCCTGCCTTGTTTAATACTCAAGATCAAGGTTTCTCGAGAAATTGACGGTTAATCGGGTATTGCGGCCCGGGCATGGCAGTGTTGCCCAGCCCCGCAAGAACCCCAGGTTTTCGTCACAGTATATCTTCGTCACAGTATATCAAAGACTTTCCACCCTCGCATCGCTTAATACATTCCAAAAATTGGTCACATGCCTCACCGGATCAGCCTTGTTTACAATGGATACCCAAGATATCAGATCGAAGCGAAAGCGCTCTCAAAACGCCTGCGGTCCGTGTCGTCAACGAAAGCGAAGATGCGATGGACGTAGTCCCTGTATCACCTGCTGCGAATGGGGTTACGACTGCTTCTATGATAACCACAAACGAGGCACGAGTCGCTATACTGTCTCGGAAACCAATAATTCGGCATCGTTACCGAGCTCTTCTCCCGGTTCGCAAGAGTCCACGCAAGAAGCGGACAAGGTATCCAGCAAGAAGAAAGTTATCGACCGAGTCGAAGCAAATTCAGGAGCTGCGTTCATTCGGAATATGGGGGATAATATTGATCCAACATCTACAACCAAGATGAACCTCTTCGGATGGAACACAGGGCACCGACAATTGCCATCAAGCGTAGATAGTGTTGCGCCTTTCTCTCTTTTCGAAATCACATCGTCTGAAGCTATCAAATGTCTCGCCGGCGTCTACTTTGATAAAGTCAATCCTTGCTACGGATTACTCGATCCTAAAAGGTTCTTTCGACGACTAGAATTGCGATCAAATTTACCACTCGCTTGCGACCCCTATGATAGTACATTTGCCGGAGTTGCAGCGCTCGGCTCGTTGTTCTCGCAACATGATGTGACGTTGACTGAAACTCAATTAGTGCAATATGCACGATCGATGCTCGAGGGTAACGATGCCTGCTCGCCTTCTGTCGAGATTCTCACTGGTTGGATTCTACACCTTTTGTACATGCGAATGACATCCAAGCCATATCCTACATGGTTGGCGAGCTCAAACATGATGCATATGCTGGAAGCTTCTGGAATTCATCGGTGGTCCTCCACTCAGTGTGAGGCCCGGGCCCTTGAATCAGAAATCGCCCCGAGAGAACGTCTTGTTGGGGTTGCACAGCATCTGAACTTATGGGTCTCCTTCGATCTCGGTCTCTCAAGAGTGTCTTTTGCAGATGAGTGGTCAGTATCTCTTTCGGAACAGTTTGAGGGGAATTCCAATGGAATCCTCAATCTTTTGCCGATCTCCGCTAGCTTGGACCCTGGAAATGCAAATGATGGGGAAAAGCTGAAGTCCTCGTTTTTGTTGATATTGCAGAAGGTTTACAAAGAAGGGCCAGAGATATTGGCTCAGTGCAATTTAGTGCTCTGCATGTTTCGACGCCTTCACCTATGGCACTCCAACTTTGACCAGCTGGTCATTGACCGCACCCTTACTTTACTTCAGTCCGGGCTAGAGGCCGCACGGGCGCTTTCAAATTCTTGTTGTCCATGGCACCACATTGCAAACGTCCCTTTCCATACTCTCTATGCCCTTCTTGTTTTGGACACCAGCGCATCTTTCCAGCTAGTTCCCGAGGCTATGGAGACTCTCTGGCAAGTTGCCTCCACATACAACACGGCTACCATGAGAGAGGCCGTGTACGCTGCTGAGAGACTGGTTCTGTTATATCAGCAGCGGCGAACAAGTGATGTGATAATACTCAGTGAAGCTTTGAATTCAAATCAGCCAAGGGGGCTGGATGTAGATCGAATCCAGATTCAGGACTCATGGCCAAATAACGAACAGGTCTCGTGGTTGATGGACCTTGTGGGTGCAATGCCGACTTTAGAGGGAGTCACTACCGCGGAGGATTTATTTGGGTAAGATCCCAATTTACATTCATCTTGAATGGTTCTGTTTTCGGTATTGTACTATCTAGGATGACTGGCTCAAGAAGTGTCACTATGAAGTATGACGGAGGAGCGAGTATCTTGGCTCCCCTAACGAAAGCTTTGAAACATGGATTCCGAGATACTTTTGGTCTTTGCACTGGCACAGCATGTATCCTTGTCACATTTTGTACATAAAAACATAAGTCAAAAAAATTTCCCTGATCCCGTCAAAACAAACCACGGTGCAGGAAGTCCGACACGTAAAGTTTGATTTCATTTCCGACAATTTCTGTCTCTATCCGTGTGCGTGAATTAAATAATGTAAATGCGGTAGGAAAAAAAAAACATGATGTTCAGGTCACGTCAAACCCCTCATAGTTGTCCAGTCATGAACTGTGCGATACCCATTCCAAAACTCCAATCCTCCCGAGTGTTCTGAGCACAACTAATGATCAAATCATTACCAGACACCGAACACTTCTCCTGCAAATTCTCAGACAACGCTTTGAAAGCCTGCTGCTTTTGTTCCGCGCTACGGCCTTGTTGCAGGATCTGAATGATCACAAGTTTTTTGGTTCGAGTGAAGCCCAGGTTAGTGTCTTCACAAATGAGCTCATAATCTTCGTGTTGGGTAATGACCTAAATAACACATCTTGTAAGGAGCAAGGACTTCAAAGAACTTCACATTGTAGGAAGTATGTAGGGAGAAATAACTTCCAATCCTACCTGGTATCTGTCCCGCGCAGGGGCATTAAAATGAGTCTGCATCACCTGCTGTACGACGTCCGCCAGGTTTTTGAGTTCGTTGGGTGACCACCCGTCTCGAATCACATCAATTCTAACAAGCGGCATGTTGGAATTGTTCTTTTCTCTCAGTACTATTAATAAATCAAAAGGTAAATGATTCAATGAATGAATTGCAGATGTACCGTTCAAGTATAAGAAGAATACGAACGGAGTGCTGGTTAACAGATCCCAAAATTGGGTGGATGAGCAGCAAATTTATATGACCTTGTATGGAGTTGACGACAACCTTATCATCACTGGCTCCGCGAAGACAACCGGCAACATCGGGTGTGCCGGAAAGGCTACAAGGAGAGCCCGCATGTTCCGCAATATCCGCACCATGAAACCGTATCAGATTGGGGGAAGACGCTGGGTATACAGATCACGCAGGCTGCAAGCGGGTATCACCCCGCGATGCCGACCATGTTATATACAGCCACGAGGAAGATCCGCGGCAATCCGCAGAGGCCAGGTGTGATACGTTTTACGGTAAGCTTTTCGAGCACCTGAAGTCTTGGCAATGGCATCAGGACCCGGGACGAGTGGCACAGGGTCAACACTATGTTTTGTATTATATCTACGCTTTTCGTGTACATAAATAGCCCTTTTGGGAGTAAAGGGAATAACCTGCACAGCAAGGCCACTAGTAAGGCCGGCTAGACCAGGTATATGAATCCATTACTACTACTACTCCTACTAAATAGGATCAAATCTTGAAGATTATTCGTTCGGCAGCCAGTACAGGCATTGATGTAGGTCCTGCCTACCTAGAGTCGACAAGGCCCGTGGAAGGAAAAAATGTGACTTTTGTTGTGCTATGAGGCTGGTGCAGATCAGGAAAGACGCCTCACCATCGAACATAATTCCCGAAGTACCTATACCAAAGATGAAGATGTTGTAAATGTCGAAAAGATCATCGATGCGACTAAATAATCGCCAGTGTCAGGATTCGTTTCGTCGCATAGCCATTTCTGGAAAACGGCTTTCCCGGTCAAGCGTCAAGCCTCGGATAAAACCGTAAACGGGTGGTCGGAGCTCATTTACCGACCAGCGATGAACTTGGCTACTAATGGCATCTACAATCTCACAAGCTAAGGGGCCACCTGTCACCTACGAAACAGAATCACGACTGCATTCAACTTCACTGACTTACCGATGTCCCGGGACGGCTTAGCAGACCGGGCTCAATTCACCGCATCTCTTGATTCCGGCATTCGCTTCGTCCACGGGTTGAACGCAGAAGCGTCAACTCCTCTGTGGTCTCAAGATCAAGCCCTTGCGCAGACCCAGAAGTTCCTCAAGTGATCATCGGCATTTGGAAATGCCGCAAAACATCTGGGCACAATAATTGCAGATCACGGAATCATGTACCGTGAGGACTCCAGCACTCACATTGAAGCCGAAACTATGCGCAGGCTCAAATTGCATGGATATCTGCATTACCTTGAAAGTCCTCGACCCTAGGATATAGCGGTGGAGCAGTTCCGGTTGCAATGGCGCAAGGATGCTAGTCTCCTTGACGAACGACTTATTTTAGGACATTTTTTGCATCTAACTCCATCTATTTTGAAGGAAGCTGCTCAGGCTTGGTGTGCGTATAAGTTATAACTCTTATGTCTAATGGACGTCTTGGCTCAGGTATTGCAGATGACTCTGATATCTCAGAAACGGCCTCAATATTGGATTAGGCGTTGTTGGAGAAGCGAGCAGCGATCGTTGCGATCCGTTCGAAAATATGAGAATGGGCCTTTATTCTATCCGAGGAAGTTATAAGGGTCCTTCTATATTGGCGACTCCTGAAGTGCTTTATATGCACACTCTCGGGCCACCTACAACGCTGGGGGTCGCAGAAAAGGTTGGCAGTCTGAAGGTGGGCAAGCAAGTAGATATTGGCCTCTCTGGTCCACCTTAACCCGGCATCTACATTGGTGCTCTCAGCTGGCCTTGAAAATACCCATGCAGCTTTTGTTGGGGGCGTGGAGCAATGGCCTGAAAGCGCTTTTAACCTTTCCTAGCATCCGCGGAAATTTCCTCTAAACCGAACAATTCTTCCATTGGGTGCATAAATTTGCAGTACACTATACGCTTCCAATCGAAACCCAAATCACCTATTGCCAAGAACAAGGGAATGAATGGGATCAGAGCTAAGTAAACGGAACAGGTCCTGAATGCAGTCATTTTATTATTATAGAAATTATAGATAGTTATCAATACTCATAATATGATATATACTATTATATTAGAAGGGCTATCTTATGTTCGAGTAGGAACTACATTACCCTAGCTAATACTACATTTCTGACTACATAATCACAATAATATGCTGTAGGTTTATATATATATATTAGAAAAATCTTGATGTATGGAATAGACGAAATCTCGAGGAATTAGAGCAGCTATAATAAGTATAGGAACTATTCCAGTATATTACCTGAGAATCTTGCACAAAAGGTTAATCTAGTTTATCAGAATTGGTTATCATATATATAATCCAGATACATCCCGGAATAACAATAAACACTCTTCATATATCTGCATCTCCAAAGAAATTTTCAATCTTTATACAGATCTGATATATTATTCTAACAAGGTGAAACATCCATTTATCAAGGAGAAAGGATCAAGATGTGATTTGAATCTTGATGATAGATCATCCACTTCATTTACTGAATCTCAAACTAAATGAGTATTACTGAATTCTTTTGAGGGGAATTATATACTTGCAGTATTTTAAGCTCTAGGTCGACAGATATATAGAAGAAATTAAAAGTATTCAATAAGACTTTCTATAAGTGTTGGAACTGTGTACTATTAATAGCATCAGGTAATCATATGTCTCAATACCAAGATGTATCAACACAGTTTGTACAACTAAAGATTATTATACAAAGTGCTAATGGTAGGAAAGAGCAAAAGCAAAGACGTTTTGTACATAGAAAATATAAATAGAGATATTAAGCTTTGAATAGATTCACATCTCGAGGCGGGAGGCGGGTGCCCTGAGACTATTGGACATGTAGTGTACCTCTGTACTACTTACTTTCAATTCTTAGAGGCTTCATAAGCAGGAAGTCAACTGCTTCCTGGCAGAAATTGCAGTATCTGCGGGGACAGTCCCCTCGTACTATTGTCACTGTAGCATAAGGGAAGACCCAAGGTTCTAAGGAACCAGTTCAGATTCTACAGCTCACTTCGGAAACTCGGGCACCATTTTGGTTGCCCCAAGTTGTTGGAACCTGGGATGCAGAGTTTCATACCAACAATAGTGAATAATAGTTGCGACGACCTTTTCTTGAATGTGGTCTGCGGGATCCAGTGTGATTGTGGAAGAATTAAGTGCATCTCTCACTCCGGCCAGATGCCTTACTATTGCAGGGCAGTAATGGACGAGGCCACAGGCTTCTTCGCTGCGCCACGATCCCCAACCTGGTCCCTTAAGGGGTCAACAGCATTTTATGGACACAGTGGATAGCTTTACTGACACACTGGCTTCAAGATTGTTGCTGCGGGATGGTTTCTGTTTGGGCGCAGACGCAGTCACTATGGGGACACGGTTTCTCGCATCGCTCGAGGTAAGCATTGGTAAAGGATACTAAAAGGTAGTGATTGAAGTTAGTGATGGTGGCATCAAGTCCATTCGTTCTACAGAATATGACTGAGCTCGCGGGCTGTCCAAGTAGCCTCGCAAATATGCCGTTTGAGGACTCATCAATAGGCCCTACACTAACTCCATACCGGGCAATGTCACCGAGCATGATAATTCAGACCTACACCAGGATTCATAGTACAAAGATGGTAAAGGACTGGGAGCTAACAGTCATTTTGCCACCTACGCGGGTGCCAACGGGGTATTTTCAAAGAGATTGACCTGGCGGTCATATTGCTCAGAGAAATGTCATTCATGCATCGCTTACCTGATTTGTGATTTACTGTAAGATGGCATGAAAATTCTACTCCTGGCTCGGGTGAGCGAACCCGCACACAAGTAGCGACTGGGTTTGTTAGGTAACCGTGATTTAATAAGAAGTCTTCAGCTTGACTGTAAATGCTCAGTCCGACTTCCCTGTCTTGAATAGGGTTTGTCACCAGAGCCGGAATAAATAGATAGTCGTAAGTCTCAGGAAATGGTGAAAGGTAGATGTTGCCTTCGTTGACGGGCACAAATGGTTGAGAAAGCGTGAGCCCTATCCGCAATAAAGATAATCGACCATCATTACATTACTTCCTTAATAGCTCCGAGCCGAGACATAATGGAACGCAGCGAGATGTTATTCCAGTTCAACCGACTCGGCATGCATTTGACAAAATAAGCCACGTAAGCATGGCACTCGGTTTTCGTCTTCCAGTGACTTAACCTTGCGTCACGAATTGGCGTTGATGAAAGCTACTATTCTTCCACCATAGAGCGTTAATACGGAGACGGTGCTCCGCGGCATGGAGTCCGCAATAGCCGTCCAACACGTCCAGTCAACCTTCCACGGCGATCTAGACAGCAATTTCCCTAGAGTTCGCCAATGACATGGCACTTTAATATGGGCCCCATGTCAGACCATATACAATATGACATCAACTACATGAATGACTTGGATAGATTCCAAGTTCAAGACTAAACTGGGAGTGACATCCTTCCCGGCCGCTTTAGAACCTTGTCGACCGGAGGGGTATAAATCAACACGATGGAAGGGAGGAAAGTTTGGACCTGCAACTAAGCTTTCATACCTTAATAGCCTCTATTATAAGTGATCATTCCCCGCGAGTTACAATGTCTTCAGGTTCGTGTACCTTAGCTACCGGATGTTGATCGACTTCATAAATACCAGAAATTCGCAACTCGGTCTTACAATACTCCAGATCAAGTGTACCCCTCTTTTCCTTTCGCCCGCCCTAACGGTGATGAGCCTCCGGCAGAGTTTCACCACCTTCTTCGAAGATGTCCTGTTTCCCACGTGGAGCTTTGGGATGGAAGTCATCCATGGATGGTGGTGAAGCACAAGGATGTGCGTGACGTCCTCACGGACCCTCGCCTCTCTAAGGTATGCCTAGTAACACGGTGTTCTGCCGTGACTACGGGACAATAACTTCAAATCCATATCAGGTTCGTCAGAGAGAAGGGTTTCCCGAGATGTCTCCCGGCGGAAAGGAGGCCGCCAAAAATCGACCGACCTTCGTGGATATGGATCCGCCGGATCATACCCGACAGAGGTAAGCTTGGCTCCCATGGGTATTGAATGTATGGTGATAATGTTAACGGCTCCCTTCAGAGACATGGTTAGCGGCTTTTTCACTGATGACTATGTCGAGCAACTTGTTCCATTCATTCAAGAGACCGTTCAGCGTTATCTGGGTGAATTGCTCGAAGCCCACAAGGGCAAGAAGGCGGTTGACCTTGTGAAGTATTTTGCTCTGCCGATCCCCTCTAAAGTACTTGATGTCCAGAATTGAACATGTTAGCGCGATTTTTTCTGATCTAACACTTCCTAAACAGGTTATATATAAGCTCCTCGGTATCCCCGAGGAGGACTTCGAATACCTGAGCAGTTGTAGTGCTACCCGAAGCAATGGGAGCAGCACCGCTGCAGCTGCGCAACACGCTAATCAGTTCGCCTTGTGCCCAGGTCCTCCATTTGTGACAATAAACTGACACGCCGTACAGGGAGCTTCTTGACTACCTAGAGCGGTTGACCGACCAGAAAATCATCAAACAAGGCAACGATATTATAAGCACACTTATCGTGGAACAGCTGAACCCAGGACACTTGGAGAAGCTTGATGTTGTCCAGATTGCCTTCCTTCTCTTGGTCGCTGGAAATGCTACCATGGTCAGCATGATTTGCCTGGTAAGGACTAAAGCAACCCCGGGCGGTACAAAGCTCGATTTTTCTCAGCTAATTGAATTTATCCATAGGGTGTAGTAACGTTGCAAGAACACCCAGATCAACTATCGTGTCTCATAGAAGACCCATCACTGTCAAAGCTATTCGTTGAAGAGCTTTGCCGTTATCACACAGCGTCTTCATTTGCTACACGCCGAGTAGCCACGGTTGATCTAGAGATTCGTGGAAATGTCCAAACCCCATTTCCCCTGATACAACTCACTAGAAGGAGACTGATGGTTTAATCTAGAATATAAAAGCTGGCGAAGGAATAATTGCCTCCAACCAGGCAGCCAATCGTGACCCCGACGTCTTCCCAGATCCAGACACCTTCAATATGTTCCGAAAGCGGGGTTCAGAGGAAGGACTTGGCTTTGGTTACGGTGTACATCGCTGTATAGCTGAACGACTTGCCCGTGCAGAACTCGAGACTGTCTTCTGTAGGTCCCCTCGCATCATTTCGCTAATCTATGGCTAGTCCAACTAACCGTTTCACTGCATTCAGCAATCTTGTTCCAGACAATCCCAGGCCTTCGGCCCGCCGTTCCGAAGCAAAGCGTCAAATGGACACCTGCTACCAAGGACGTTGGGATTCTCGAGCTTCCTGTGACGTGGGGATTCTCCAGTTCCTTGTGATGTGATGATTAAACATAGTCAGCTAGCTAACAAATGCAACCGAAACTACTATACATATGAAGTTAAGCTGCTCCAACACCAGACTACTGAAATCCCTCCTATAGATGAAATGTAAAAGTGAAGGTGCGCAGTCTGAGATCTTATATTGTTACTGAGGGTTCTACCATGTAGTTAAAGCCACCAACTTTCTAAATAAGCTATAGAATTAAGGGGTTCAGGTTGACCTGTATCATAAGAAGTGTGTACTCTTATAATATACAAATTGCTAGTCAAGTGTTTATATTAGTACTAGTTGCTATACTAGATCTAGTTGATTGAGTTCTACTGCTCTTTGGTTTTATTTATGGGGAGTAGTAGTAAGTTTTATGGTTATCTAGTCTCGGTCAAACTTTACGTTATAGTGACTGCATTGGTACTTGTTTATATTAGACTAGATTTCTAGATAGTACTAAGCGTGCCAGGTATTTGGTATAATTAAATATCTGATCTGGACCAGATTGAACCTGCTAACAGCCAGTCAGGAATTATACAGCTTCTATATATATACTCTGCGGAAACTATATAATGAGTAAATATAGTAGATGTGGGATTCGATTGAACATGCCTTATTTAATATATATAAACTAGAATATCAAATATCAGCAGAACAAGAAAAATGTAGAGAGAAATATATACAAAAGACAAAAATAAATGAACAGCAAAATAAATATATGTATATTATATAATCTGGTCACGTGTTTCCGGACACCGCTCGCCATTAAATATAGGTTTCTAGAATATTTAAGCTAGTTATTTAAGCAAGTCTCTTTCATTTAGAGAGCTTTCTTAATAATTTTAAAATAGTTCATCTTGCTGGATAAGAGTTATCGATTGCCTGAGCGTTGCCTTTTCCGGCGCTTTCTGCCTAGCAAGTCCGCCTCAATAGTAGCTTAACTAGCAGGGGTCTCTAACAGCCGCCCACCATAAATACTCTATCATCTACCGAATAAGGGGCTAAAGCATCCGTATCACGACTCTAATTAGCAGCTCTGGGATGGATAATCGTGCCATAAGATCGGTATGGTTAATCTTGGGCGGATTTTTCGACCAGTAGAATCTTATGTAATGAAGGAGTGGGACTGGCGTTTTTAAAACATCTCGTGTAGTTAGCGTACTGTCAACACCTCACCTATTGAAATAAAGGAGACACAGTTGCGACGGATTCAGAAATTAGTGCGCCTTGTTGAGACCGGAGCTGAAAAACAGCTCAGATAGATTTAGAGAAATCCTGATTCAAAATAAGCTCAAGCATGATACTTAAGGAGCTTATACATGCGACTATTTTCTATTACTAAATCAGCCCTACACGTGACAAATAATAGTCTACAAAAAAAAAAAAAATGAAATAAAACAGATCTAAAAATCCCTAAGACATATTTGATCGGCTCTCACATTAGTTATTATTACTATAATTATCCCTAGTAAAATCCTGAAATAAAGCCTAAAACAAGCCTGAAATAGGCATGAATACCATCTAAATCAGGTTTCCATAAATCCTGAAATCAGGCTTAAAACGCGCCTCCGGAGGTCCCGAAAAATACTAAGATTCCCGATTATTAGATGTCTTATTGAAAGCCACCATTTTCAATTCTTTATTAAACTCTATTTAGTAGACAGATTCTGATTAAAAGATTTATAACGAATTTGTATATTTATTAGTTCTTGAAAGCACTGCACTCTGAAAGTTGATGGAATCATACCACATACCAAGAAGTCGGCCCCATATAAACTGCGGAAATCCTAATAGAATCGCATATGCAATGCCCCGCCCCCAGTGGATTAGGACATAACCGACGGTCCTGAGGTCTGCTCTCATTATCAGAGGCAGTCCGACACTGTAATATTAAAATAGTGTATAAGGATATCTGTCATGCCTGTATTTTGACATGGCATGAGTATGTTAGATGCAGACCAAAGAGCACAATCAAGGACAGTCTCTTGGTAATCTGATATTATTGATTGCTTTGTCGCGGAACGCCGGAATTGAGAAGAATACTGCCGGTGACCCTTCAGGTTCGTGCAAGATGAGCTGTGACTATTGAAATTAACCATCCGAACAAGACTAATTGTGATGCTGGGGGCGGCACCACAACCCTATGAGCTGCAACACAGCGGCTGACTCACCATATCCTAGTTAACTAATTAACTAGTTGTTCGGTTAATGAGAAGCTGAGTGATGACTCAGTAGCACGAGCTGCGATTGAGGCTTTCGGGGAGGAGGCAAGATTGAGAAAAGTGAGAGATCAAGCACCTGTATCGGTCTAATCAAGTTCACACCTCTAACCCTACCTCCTTTACGACCCAAGAGACATATGGTCTCCAGGACTCATGCAGCTGATCCCAAATACTATGCGCGACGCGGAAGCTCCAGCCTTCCATCCACCAATGGTGCCTGAAGTGATGCAGTACAAGGCAATAATGAGCTAGTATCACAAGTGCCATTGGGTCATGCTCTTTAAGAAGCTTTAAATATTTGGATGCGAGACCGAAAGGCCACCGCAGGGCCAATTCAATACGGCGCGGTTTGTCTTGGTAGATCTCCATCATGTCTTTCAGATGATTGATAGCCTCATCGTAGCAGTCCGCATCACGGTCCCCAGATCGCTTTCCTCGAGTCTCATTGAGGTACTTCAGCTGGGACAGGGCCACTTCAAGGGTTTCGGGAAGAGGCCAATGTTTGGTGTCATCCACCTGCGTGAACACATCCGCCAACTTCCCTTCTTTGACCCATTGCCACGATGCGCCCAGAATCTCCCGAAGCCCTCTGCACAGTGTAAATGCCTGGAGGAGGTCCTGAACAGAGTCATGGGTCTCGATGAGCGGAGAACAAGTCGGAATGGCGAACGCCAGTTGCAGAAGTAAACTGGCAAATACGAAGATGGGGTGACTATTGTCACGGTTAATGGAAGAGACGACCGGCCGGAATAAGGCGAGTGCGCGGTTTTGATGCTCCAGTGCGATTGAGAAGTAGCGGGTCCTGGACGCAGGATCGCTGGCGCGGGCGATATGAAGGGCAGACAATGCTAGTAAGCCATGCAGGACAAATGGATACTCTAAGCCCTGCTTTGGCAACACGTATTGGTAAAGATGTTCGAACTGCTGGTCGTGGGCCATGGTAGCGTATGTCGAAGAGCACCACTGAAGAAGCAGTTCCATATCGCTAAGATTCAGCTCGGGGGCTCGTGGAAGAGAGTCACTGCTCGCCATCCAGCCTGAGGATGATGGAGTAGAAGACGCAGCTGGTGACTGGCGGCGAACAGACGAGTTCTCGGTCTGTGAAGCCTGCCCCAACTCGACTTCCCTCGGAGCGTAGACGCATTCAGTGCTGCGATTCACACAATTGCTGCATTCCGGCTGACGCTCATCACACTGTAAGCGTATGTGAGTAAAAATACTGGTGATATAGCACAGCACAGTTACAGCACTATAGCTGAACTAGAATATACTGAACGCGCAGTGAGATAAGGGGCGGCCCATGAAAATACCTTAACCCTTCGCCTTTTGCAGGCAATGCATCCGTGACGAGACTTGCGATGAGACCGACGCGACGGCATGGTAAAAAACCGATGGCCCTGGCAAGGCCAAGAGCCGACGGCGACAAAGAGTAAGGCGGAGAAAATATCGGTTGGGAGAAGAACATCTGCGGGTCGGTGATCTCATTCCCATTCATGTTCATTTCTACGCTCAACCGCTTCCCGTATTGATTGTCACGTGCCATAAGGCTGAATCCGCCCAACGGCGTCTTGAGGGGGAGCTTTTGCTTATTGACTTTTATTATTATTTATGTACAGTACTGTATACTGTATACTGTATACTCTACCCCGTCAGACGGCATTTCTTCTGCTCTCTATACATCCTAAAAAGTCTCCTATATGGGATATTCTAACTCTACCAGCCGTATCAGGTCCTTCGTTCAAACACCCCTCCGTACCTCCTCATTGTACAGTAACACCAGAATCAGCCGTTTTAAATGGCTCGCGCGGGATTGCCCCAATAGCAATACCAAACGGGTAAATTCTTTTGTCATGACTACGCCAACGCCATTTGTGCATCCTTCTCCGACACTCAATCCTGCCAGTATGGTGGCTCCACTTCCGATCGAGATCTCGAGGGCAAACTCCAATCCGTTCGGTCGCGACCGTATGTTGTTCTCATGTGTGGCGGCCAGGATACTCATTTTCGGCCCGAATGAGACCCTATCATCTGCCATAAGGAGAGCAGAATCAGAATCGTCGTGCTTTCCCGCTGGACTCGCCGAGCCTACTTGAAAATTGGCGTAGAAGTTGCCGCTGATGCTGGTATTGCAGCCGTAACCCACTCAAAGAGGCGGTTCCAGGTAGATTCTGGATCCGAGAGAATCCAGTGAATCTATCCCCCGTCCAGTATGGGGGAGGGAAGGGAGGAAGCAGAGGACTGCTTCCAGCATACCGAATACTTATCATCCGCTCGTGCTGATCACTCCGGGGCGTCTTCCTCAGAAGCTTGGCCTTATTCATCAGGGCCTGGGACTTTGCCTCTCTAGGGCTCATTTTCAGATATTGTCGGCCAGACTATGCTCAACCTAAGTCCCATCCTAGGCCCACAGCAAAAGAGGGCCGAGTCTGGAGAAGAGATTTTATAGTGAGGCGATTGGAATCAAGACCGCGGGGATCGTGCCTCAAATACTGTTGTGAATTATGCTTAGCGGCAAGTTTACCACAGCCTCAAGTTTCCTGCCATTTGCAGTCGATGTCTGTACATTGCACTTCATTTGCACTCTCAAGTAACATACAGAGATAGCGAAAGGTGCCCTGATTGGTCTGACATACAGTACTGACAATATAGAAATACTTCTTTTGTCTATGGACGGGCGCATCTGTAAGTATGACTGGATAGTGCCAATAGACCGTCACCAGTTATTCTGGACCAACCAGAAAGGCCAATTAGGCGATCCGAGGGTCACGTAGGATGAATATGGTTTGAAGGATTCGCCCCACAGAAAATCCCCGATACGAATACGATACAGTAAATTACCACAGAAAAATGGTAAAGATTGATTGAGCTTGCCTTGTAGGCTTGTTTGCGCAAGCGATCCAAAACTTGACTGATCAGTTCCATAGATCTTGCCGGTTGTAGCTGTATGTGGTAATATCCCCTTTTATTCCTTCGAGAAAATTACCTAGAACAATACTAGGGTACGAGTACCCTTGTGTGACTTGTCGGGCCCCTGTACATTGCGGCGTGAAGGATTCTTTTGCCCTCATTCGTGGCACAGAGCATAATACTTTAAAAGGGGGAGGGTTAGAATGACAGAGATACAAACACCTTCTTCCATTATTTCTCCTTTTCACAACAAAAGCATTCAGCATGTCGAACGATAACTCTACTTGGACGTACTACCACTATGATCCTTCACTACCGGCAGCCTTGATTTTCACGATTCTGTTTGGCATAAGCTCGCTGGTTCACACATGTCAAATGCTGCGTACGCGCACTTGGTGCTTCATTCCTTTTGTGATAGGAGGTTACTGTGAGCAATGCATCACCCTATCCCCACAAGTTCTTTCGATATCCCCAGGGAGGGGGAGAGTTGAAGCTCCCTGAGGACTAGGTAACTAACTATCATTGATCTTTACCTTTTAGTTGAGTGTATTGGCTACATTGGTCGTACGCTAGGACATTATGAAACCCCAAATTGGACTTTAGGACCTTACGTACTCCAAAGTCTTCTTATTCTTGTTGCTCCTGCCTTGTTCGCTGCTTCCATATATATGGTACTGGGGAGACTTATCCTCATCACCAAACATTCTGAATATGCCATTGTGAAACCGCGATGGCTAACAAGATTCTTCGTCTCTGGGGATGTGATATCTTTCCTTGTCCAAGCTGCCGGTTCGTCCATATCTCCTGTTTTCTTTTTGAAAAGGGAAAAGCCTGCTTTTTTCTGCTTTCCTCTGAAGATTCCTCATACTTTCTCTCCTTCAATTTTTGTTACCTGTCTTGTTGCGCACATCTGACATAAGAACTAATTCAGGTGCCGGAATAATGGTCACCGGAGCGAACGGAATGACGTTGGGTCAAGATGTTGTGGTCGCAGGCTTGTTCATCCAGATCGCCTTCTTCGGACTGTTCATCGTCACCGCTACCGTGTTCCTCTGGCGTATGCAGCGCAACCAGTCCGCTGCCCGGCTCACTATACCAGGGCTTCCATGGCGAAAGCACTTGGTAGTGATGTATGCCGCCTCCCTCCTTATTATGGCGCGATCAGTCTTCCGCGTTATCGAGTATATTCAAGGAAACAACGGTTACCTGCTCCGCCACGAGGTCTTCCTCTACGTCTTCGACGGAGTCCTCATGTTTATGCAGATGGTGCTCTTCAATTTGTGCCACCCGAGCAGACTGCTATCCACAGGAAAGACGGCCACCTTGCCGGATGGCCAGTTGAGCAGTATCCGTTTGCGGCCGTCCATGGTGTAAGCAAACGAAGAACAAAAGCGTATAAAAGAACCATGAAGAACATAAAATTCTAGTAAGGAAGCGATTGTTGCAACGCAGAAGACTGAGGAAAGAAGGGCCTCTTCTAGAACGCATGTCTATTGCTGGTTTTTGATGTACAATTTCATGTCCAACGAACATATAATGAATCTATATCTGATACTCAAGCTGTGTAGTGGATATTCGTAGAAGAGGATCGCTCCCGATAGATGATATACAAAGGTTCGGAGCTCACCAATTTTAGATACCCATCTAGGCTCGGACAAAATTACCTTCATAATTCGAGAATATTTTCCTTACCCCTACAAGGTCTGCCCGATCATTTATGGACCCCAGATAAACTGGATGGGTAACCCTATGGCATGAATGATACCGCCACCCATTGTCCGGATTCCTGAGGGAGGCCACAACCGGTTATATCTGTATAATGTGCCAATCATGCTTTGCAATTAGAAATCATGGGAGACGCTACAGCTACGGTCTCTCCTTACTGTATTAGGAATCCAAATTAAAAAGTGATAGTATTTAAACAACTAGTCTGGATACTGAGTTATGCTAAGACCCTTTTTAGTAACCCCCTCCATAGGATCCCATAAAATCTCCGTAAAGTCCTACATTGACAGTCACATGTACATAAGGTCACTTGACCTGTGTACACATAAGATACCAGTACAACGAGCCGTTGTATGCTCTTTATTAGCGAGCATGGCAAATGTGTCTCATGAGGGTGACTGGCCTATTACATAACCAGACGACGCGGATTGTCTTGCTTGATAGGTCTCACATCATTTGTCGTCATCTCATGCTTATTCTCGTTTGTTCTTGTTCCGTTTCCCCATCTCTTCCCAGTGTGGCCATACTACGTATTCATTCTGCTATGTTAGCACGAGCGGGGCAAGTGGAAGAAGGGGGGAAAAAGACAAGGGACGCCGCCCTTGGCGGGAGAGAAATTGCAAAACCTGATCTTACCCCAATATTCGAGAAGCTGGGTAACCTGCCTAAAGGAACAAACGGCAGCTGCCCACAGGCCCCATAAGGGACCCCATCTCGTAAATTTCTAAAGTAAATCTCTAAATTTTCACTTACCTCGGTACGTTCTCACATACCAGTAATAATGAGAACGTACCGTTGACTAAGTCCCGGCCCAAAAAGCCCTCAAGTCGTGTATTCGTACACTAAACAAGATAAGAAGATATTTGGCTGTCAGAGCAGGAACCAGAAAGGTGGACCATCTCTCTCGACCGGTTTGGCAAATCCTTCGCACAATTGACTAAAAACCATTTTTAGCTCTCCTTACAGAGTCCCGCTCCCCAATACTATTCGAGGCATCATGGGTAGTCCAGTATTATACTCTTCTCACTCCTCTCCTAGACGAACCCCATCGCGAGGCGGACGCCGTCACAAGATGTCTCCCTTAATTGAATATGTTATTCCGGCAAGTTTCGGTCGGATGCTTTCGAAAGTGAATGCAAAGCCGGAATAGAAAATTTCGTACCTCCGACTTTACTCAACGTCCATAATATCCTTAGTGGAAAAGCTTCATATAGAAAGGCAACCTTCCGAAGTAAGCTGGAGGCGAAGAGGGAAGTCTGTTCAGCTCAGTTTTCGTCCTGCAGGCACCTAGCCGAGAGTGTGGCTATCAGACATGTGAACACTTTTGCTGTACCGTATTCTGAGTAATGCAGATACGGCGAAACTCGACCACTTCTCGATATTTCTCTTCGTATAGGCGGCTACTAAAGAAATGATCCTATGATCCGTGGAGAAAAGAGTAAATGGCCCGCTTGCGCTCTCGCCTTTTCCACAAAAATATTGGAACGAAAGAGGTCCAGCGTATGATGTAGGATTCCTTCTATCGAGCTCCTGCACCCATTGTACGAAATCAACTTCGAGGAATTGGAGACAATCGAGCTTGCCAATTCATATTGACCTATGTAACGAAAGACGCTGATATGGTCCCATATAAGCTAAAACGACGGGCTAATAGAAATGCTACAGCAGTCGTACCAACCCTGAATACCACCGCCTCGTAACAATCTCCGAATGAACGGCTCGCCGAGCCCGCCGACTCCGTGATGTGGTTGGCCTCCGCCTACGCATCATGAATTATGGTCATATTGCCCGTCAATTGTATATCCAAAACACTCTTTCCGACCATGACTCCATATTCACCCTCAACAAGCACCCACTGCTGTGTAACGACGTCCCATTGACTCAGATCACGGCGAGTGAGATGAAACTGCATATCTACACTCCTTCCGGGACTGATTGAGTGCTTGCGAAATCCTCGTAGAACTCTATCCGGCCCGGCTCCAGGAATGCGGATGTATAACTGGGCGACTTCCGCCGCTTCGGTTCTGCCAGTATTGGTTACGGTGCAGCTGATGGTTGCCATCACGTCCCAGAGAGAGTCCAAGCCCCCGGAAGGCTTTGGGTCGCTGACGGTGTATAGCTCTGACCCTGGTGGTTGGTAAGACTTGGGCGTTTGCGAGATCTGTATGTTCAGGTCATGGTAAGCGAATGTTGTATAGGTCAAACCGTACCCGAACTCGAATCGCGGAATGATGCGGTTTGCAATGAAGTGGCGGTAATCGATGTAGACGCCTTCGGTAAAATTGGACTGGGTGTAGTACATGCTGGAGTTGTCCGGGTAAACTGGATCGAGCAGTGCGCCATAGTCCTTCGGGTCGCGCGCGACCGTATAAGGCAGCCGTCCCGACGGCGACACTCTTCCGTACATAATTTCCACCAAGGCGGTGCCTGAGTCCTGCCCGGGAACGTGGGCGAAGATCACCGCCGTGATATTCGGATGCTCGATCCATGCATCGACCACCCGCACTCCCGCATTGTGGATCACGACCATCGTGTTGTTGCATTTCGCCGCCACATTGGTAATCAGGGTATCGGAATAAGTATCCGCCAGACTCGGTCGGTCCCATCCTTCAGAAGACTGCTCATTCACGAAGATAATGCATGCTTCGCTAGCTGCGTTGACCCCCGGGTCGACGGAGGCAAAGTCCCAGGACAAAAATGTGTCATCTCGCTTTGCTTGATACTGAAAGGCGTTGAATGGAGCATCTATGTATGCTGGAGTGTTGGCACCGGATCCCCCACCGACTATCAATGTTCCATTGAGTGCAACACTAGGCCCTGTTGTGTTAGCGAGGAAGCTTCCCATAAGAGCAGCTGCAATCTCGTATGTGAAGCTCTGTCCACCGAGGTACGACAGGGTATTGCCGAGACCCAGCCCTTGCAGGAAACTATAGGCTGTTGTCGGCGAGTTGATTGCCGATGCAGGACCATCGTAGCCAAACAGAGAGAGGATTTTCGGTTTCTTCAGGGGAAGACTGTTATTTGTGTTTTTCACAAGGACGTGGCCTTCAATGGCCCCCTGAAGAATGGTAGGCGCCGCAGCGGGATCCCGAGCCTCAATAATCTCATGGGGTTCAGTTAGGTTTGCGGGAACAAAGGCTCCCGGATTATCCAGTGGCGAGAACCTAGACCAGGTAGCAAGGATTCGGGTCGCCATATCATCCAAACGGGCTTGAGCCAGAGATCCGTTGGCAACCGCAAGGCTCGAAGTGTGATTTTCCCAAGTAGGTGAATTCGGCATAGCAACATCCAAGCCTGCCTCCGAACTGGAGACCCCAGTGTGTCGAGCATGCCAATCAGTCACAGTGAAGCCTTGAAACCCGAGTTCAGTTTTGAGAAGGCCATTCATAACCTTGCTGTTTTGACAGCCGTAACTGTTATTCACACGATTATAGCTGCACATAACAGAACCCACACCAGCCTTTACTGCATCTTGAAACGGCCACAAGTATAACTCATGCATGGTCTTGTCATCTATATTTGATGAAATAGACGCATTTGCCAGATAGACGGACGGATTGCGGTCTGTCTCCTGTTCATTCCCGATAAGATGCTTGACACTCGCAATCACAGATTCCTGCATACCAGTGATAGTCTCGTACACTAGCTTGCCAGAGAGATAGGGATCATTGGAGAATCCCTCCCAATTCCGTCCTCCACGGGCAACGCGGCCCAAGGGTCCCACAACAGGCCCCAGGGCAACGTTGATGCTCTTCTTCTTGAACTCTGCTCCCATGTAATGGCCACGTTTGTATGTCAAGTCAGGATTCCAAGATGCCCCGACATGGAGGCCGGAGGGATATGAGTTGACCATATCCATGCCTCGGACCCCGTTGCCGGCATCCTGGAAACAGAGACCAGGAATTTTGAGACGGGGTACAGTCCCTGTATTGCCTGCACAACCGTTGCCCGCTTCCTGGAAGCCGTACGTGAGGTTCGTCTTCTCATCGTTGGTCATCTGAGAAACCAGAGCCCTGGCTTGCTCATATGCGCTGGCCCAGTCACCAGTCCCATTCCCGGCAGCTGTGATATGTATAACATAAGCAGACGGCTATATCTCTTCGGAGACGTCAAAGCTTACGGCTTGGATACACTGGTGGTGACCTGCCGTATGACCAGTAATGTTCGAGGTTGGAGAGTATGGCCCCGAGCACGCCGGTGGTTTCGTTATTGAAAGTCTGACCGTATACGCCAAGGGCCAGGCCGTAGGCACATAGCAAACGGAGGAGAACCATCGGGGTGAGATGTCGCATTCCAAGTGTATGCAAAAAAAGAAGAGATGTGAGATAAGGGCCTTCCATAGAGTAAGTGCCAACCTAAATAGTGACTTTTGGTCCTACCTTCTAATTAGGTAGGGGGCTTTCACAGAATAGACTTTGAGTTCGTCTTGGGTATTTCCTGGGATTTTGTGAACAGTAAAAGCCCCGCTCTTTCCGTAGCGTCCCCCGGTACTCCCAACTCCATAGAGCCTCAGACTCAAATGCAAGTTATCGGCCATTTTTCCCCCAGAACTGCGTAGACCAGGAGAATGGGTATATCTTTCCGTTTTCGGTAATGAGTCGTGCGCCAAGAGATCGCCGCCCGTATTCGTTCTCTAATACATTTGTGGTTTAGCTCCAACCCATAAAACAAAAGGGCCTGCACTAATCTTTCTTCGTTACCTCTAATTGGCCACAGGTGGCACTTTTTCCTCGATTTAGATTGTGGAGCGTGTTCGAACCAGAATCCGTGGAGGCGACATGAAACCGTGTTTGCCGTCGTATCGTATTTAATGATACTGTACGAGCCTAAAATATACACTGACAGCCATGAGTTGCTGCCAGGAGCCAAAGCCACAATTGCAAGCACCGGATATGCATCGCAAGAATCTAGAGCTCAACATTCACAATGGACATCAAAGAAGTCCGGAACTTGTACTCCGTAACGAAGGGACACAGCCGTTTGTCAAAACAATTTGGATGGCTATGTTAAACTAGTAGACCATCGCCTTGCGCGATGCCACTACACCTTAACACATACTGTGACCTACGTACAGCGTAGTCACGGGAGTAAGATATGCATACTATATATTTCCGAGTGCTTCCGCCCAGGGCGTCGCTCCTCTCAATAAACACGAGCACGCCGATTTAAAGCAGCAATCTGAGGTAACTTGGACCGCTCCGTCATGGACCGGGTGTATCAACCATTGCTATGTTTCCTCTGGCATGTTCTTCTTTTTGCTATTTCAGCCGACCAACCCCGGCTGCACATTCCGCGTGCACCGGATCCGTTAGCAGAACAGCTAACGGGACTCGTCACTTGGGATGAGTACTCGATATTCGTCCGCGGCGAACGCATCCTGTTCTTGTCAGGCGAGTTCCATCCATTCCGGCTTCCTTCCCCTGGCCTGTGGCTCGATGTTTTCCAGAAAATCAGAGCGTTGGGCTACTCCGGTGTCTCATTCTACTTGATGTGGGGTTTGCTGGAAGGGGCGCCGGAGCATTTCCGCAGTGATGGCGTCTTTGACCTCCAAGAGTTCTTTGATGCTGCCAGTCAGGCAGGAATATACCTGATCGCTCGGCCTGGGCCATATATCAATGCTGAAGTCTCCGGGGGCGGTCTTCCCGGATGGCTCCAACGCCTGCATGGTGACGTCAGGTCAGTGGCTCCAGACTACCTGAACGCCACGAGAAATTATATTATGAATACCGGCAAGATTATTGCCCGGGCCCAAATCACAAATGGTGGCCCAATAATTCTTTTCCAACCGGAGAATGAGTATACCATGTGTTCGGGGTTCACGACAGTTGGGGATATCAGTGCCTGCCTGGATGAAAACTATATGGCTGGGGTGGAAGCACAATACCGGGAGGCGGGAATTGTCGTTCCGTTTATCAGCAACGACGCCGTCCCTCTCGGTAACTGGGCACCAGGCACAGGGAAAGGTGCCATGGACGTTTATGGATATGACTTTTACCCATTTGGCTGGGGCACTGGATGTGAGCCGGCTTTCAATCCTGTCAGCCAAAAAACATAAGTGGTGTAAACTGACAGCATGCCCTAGGCCACGACCCTTACAATTGGACCCGGATATTGGATCCTTTGAGCTTGTCGAATTTCTCCACACACTTGACTATGAGTCCGACAACCCCATATGCCATTGTAGAGTACCAAGGGGGCGCTCCTGATCCATGGTGAGTCAGTCCCCTTAGCCCTGCAACGCAGATCGCACCGGAGAATAGATAACCCTAAGTCATATCTAGGGGTGGTAATGGCGTCGGGACTTGTGCAGCCATGATCGGTGCTGAGTTTGCGCGGGTATTTTATAAAGTCAACTTCAGCCTTCGCGCCACGATTGTGAATCTCTATATGGTACATCTGTCTCACCGTGACTCTAGTTCTTCGGCTGACAACTCAGATGTTCGGCGGGACCAACTGGGGCAATTTGGGGTATCCATCTGGCTATACCTCATACGATGTTGGTGCACCCATTAGTGAAGATCGTCTATTGACGCGCAAAAAGTATCATGAAATCAAACTTCAGGCCCAGTTCATACAATCCTCACCGGCGTATATGGTCTCTTGGCCTCTTCTTGCTCAACTTAGGTACTCCAATGCTTCCAACCTGGATATTACCGTACTGCACGGAGACGCCACAAAGTTCTATACCATTCGTCACGCCGATTATGGCACGCTCAAGTCGACATACTACAATATCAACTTGGAGACTAGTTTCGGAAACTTCACTGTCCCCACTCTAGGTGGATCTCTGGTTCTGAACGGACGGGATTCTAAGATCCATGTTACGGATTACCAAATTGGGGATATCAGTCTAGTCTACTCGTCAGCCGAGATATATACCTGGAAGAGGTCGGGAGACAAAACCGTTCTCTTGATGTACGGTGGGGATGCTGAACAGCACGAGTTTGCGGTTCCAATACCATCCGACCATGTGAAAGTCCTTGAGGGGAATGAAACGACATATCGCGGAACCGATAACCTCACCTTTTTACAGTGGACGGTCAGTCCGACCCGCCAAGTCATCAGCTTTAGTGATAAGCTGGACGTGTATCTGCTTTGGCGAAATGACGCGTACAAATACTGGGTGATTGACTTATCCCTTCCTCCGCCAGTGGGCCTACATGTGTCTCCTTCTAGGGAAAATTCCTCGGTCATTGTCAAAGGCGGATATCTCGTACGGAACGCAACTATCTCGGGCGAAGTACTGTCGCTAACAGGGGATCTTAATGCAACAACAGAAATTGAGGTGGTTGCTGCCCCTTCCGGGTGTTGCTCCGGTCTTGTGTTCAACGGGGAGACGGTGAAAACCAGCGTGGAGAATGGACGATTGAAGGGCTCCCTGAAGTATGAAGCCCCGGCGATTGCGTTGCCTCATCTTGTCACAGCGAATTGGCAGTACCTCGATTCCCTCCCAGAGCTTGGGCCGCGCTATGATGACAGCAACTGGACCCTGTGCGACCACGCCTCAACCAACAATCCGCGAAAACTGTCCACGCCCACTTCGCTCTATGCTAGTGATTATGGCTATCATGCGGGCTCCATCCTCTATCGAGGCCATTTCGTCGCAAATGGGGCCGAGTCCTCATTCTCTCTGTCCAGCCAGGGAGGGTACGCATTCGCGCACTCGGTGTGGTTGAACTCGACGTTTCTCGGCGCTTGGTCCGGCGATCCTGCTGTACAAACATATAACCAAACACTGCATTTCCCTAATCGCCTCGAGTCTGGAGCTTCCTATGTTTTGACGGTATTGATCGATAACATGGGACTCAATGCAAATTTCTACGCTAACATACAAACCATGAAGGACCCGCGAGGGATTCTCGACTACAGTCTCTCTGGCCACGAGGACAAGGCTGACATTGAATGGAGGATAACAGGCAACTATGAAGGCGAGCGCAAACTTGACCTCAGTCGAGGCCCGCTCAACGAAGGAGCTACCTTTGCTGAGCGACAAGGTTTCCACCTCCCCGGAACCCCCACCCAAGATTGGCAGCAGAGCTCCCCTATGGACGGCCTGTCGGGACCGCGTGTAGGATTCTATGCTACAACGTTCAACTTAAGCTTCCCGTATGGGTACGATATCCCGATGAGCGTCATCTTCGCAAACAGCTCAGCTGTCGGGGATCCCAATACGGCAGGACGATTTCGGATATCTCTGTATGTGAATGGGTGGCAATTTGGAAAATATGGTATGCGTCTTTTCCTACCATGCCTTATGGAAATGGCCGGCAGATCGTCTGAACAAGATGACTGATATTTTCTTTTCATCTTTGTATCCTACAGTGAACAATATCGGCCCACAGATATCGTATCCAATCCCTGAAGGTATTCTCAATCATCATGGAGAGAATTACCTCGCCCTTGTATTCTGGGCACTGGACCGCAACGGCGCAAGGCTCGGTTATATTCAAATAGGGAATAGTGCAATCATACAGACAGGATACTCGTTACCCAACTTGGTACCCGCTTCTGAATATGCCATCAGAGGCGATAGTTATTGAAACCGGACGGCACAAGGATTGCGGCGCAATGTGGCTATTCGACTATTGGACAGCTAGCTTCTTCATGGGAGGCAAGGTGTAAGGAGGGAGAGAATACTAAAGGAAGTTGATCTACAAATGGCGTCTTTCTCATGGCGGCAAAGATTCATGATCACTAGAGCTTGACACTGATCTGCGACCTGTACGCCGTTGAAGTTATTCAACATTTTCGTCACCAGTGTAATCTCTTCGCGCATCTCACCGCAAAGAATTAGTGTTGGCCCAAGCAAATCTATGCTGAGCAGATTGATGAACAGGTGCACGTTGATTTGACCCTATGGATACCGCTGTACGAGTTTTCAAGAAGTATCATGGTCGTATTGGACAGAACGGGCATATACTGAGATGATAGAAATATTGATCCTGAACCCCAAGAGCCGCGGCCGGCAAGAGAGGAATATGGCGACCTTACCATGATACGCGTCAAAGGAAAAGGAAGAGAATAACAAGCAAGAAAGTACGAGAATAAGGAAGAAAGAAAGAAAAACGCCCACTGCAGCAAGCTGACTGCTCTTCTGATTTCGTAGCCACTTATTCATAGGATCAGGGTCCGAAGCTACTTGAATAGTCGGAGACAATATAATTATGTATTCTATTACGTATGAGTCGATGCTTGAGTTACAACCAGGAAAGCCAAAGGGCCCTCCCTAGTGGACCCCTAGAACCCCACATATACCCTTCGATACCCCTGGAAGAGGCTTGGTGCTAGACCCATGGTAACGATCGCCCTGGTCCCTAACACATAACAGTCATGGAAGCGGAATAATCATAATTATAAAACGGGATACTATCGTCTACAGACGTCATCAAGACAAATAGCATTATTGCCCGCCGTTATTACGAACACGAATACGACAACGATATGGACGGGGGTCTTCGACTAACGGTAAATAGCATGCGGGTACAAAAAGACGCCTGTCTAGACCATTCCGATTGTCTATATAAGTCGGCTGTAACGCCTCTCTTACTTGCATAGTGAAACAATCGGATTGTTCGAACATATTGTCCATCGGCCTGATGTTTGTCTTCCAATTCGCCCCGTGGGCAGTTCTTGCCCTGACTTCTGCAGTATGCTGCTCAGGCGCCGGCACCAATGACCAATTCTCCAGCGATATTGATCCCGGAACATTCCAAAACCCGTCAGCAATCATACGGCCTCGATTCCGATACTGGCTTCCTGATCCCAGCGTGGATGAACAGACGATGAGAAACGACATACATTCAGCCGCAGATGTGGGAGCGGGAGGCGTGGAGTACCTGCCGTGGTATAACGCGGGCGGTTTCCTTGGCCCTGCGCCTCCGGGGGACGACTGGGGCAAATACGGAGTTGGCACACCCGCATTCAACAGATTGTTTCAGGCTGCTCTGGAAGCTCATCGCGATGCTGGTACTGTGATGGATTTTGCTATTGGACCCAATCAAGGGCAAGGTGTACCGGCTGATCCCAATGACGAAGGCCTTCAGTGGGATTTGGTACGTCTCTAAATGTCATGGACAATAGTTAGAAGGGTTTACAACAAGCCCACCTCCCCTTCCCGGCTTTCCCCTTGGCGAACAGAAATCATTTGCCCGGATTCGTGAAGCTGACAGTCCTGTCTTTCTGGCGCCATCAGGTACCATTCTCGATAGCGGTTCCTGCCAATGGATCATTTGCTGGGATAATCCCGGGCTGGGGAACCGGTGATCTACTTGCACTCATTTCAGCTGAAGTGGTGAAAAGAATTGACAACTCTACTGCGTCGTCCACTGACCGAGTTCCCCACATTCGTCTCGTTATCAAGGAATCTTCGCTCACGGATCGAACTGCTGAGGTGTCTTCAAGTGGCCATGTATCCCTCACTTATCCTACGGATCCCGACCAACAAACCTACTGGTTGTTCGCATTCTATCAGCGTTTGACCCACGCTCAAAATTTAATATACACCTCGAATCAAACAGACGCAGTTATTGAAAACGGAGCATACATGGTTGATCATTTTAGCTCGCGAGGCGCCGAGACTGTAATAAATTTCTGGGAGAAGTACGTTCTGAACGAGAAAGTGAGATCCCTTCTTGCTGAAGTGGGAAATTATGGTGAGAAAACCCTAATATAGCATGAGTCCACTAGATCCTGGCTAACATGGTTTGCAGCCTGGGAAGACAGCGTTGAGATTAAATCGAATATTTCCTGGTCCAAGTCGCTCCCAGGCGTATTTGAACAGAAGCATGGATACAGTCTCATCAAATATTTACCGCTGATAATGTTTGACAATAATAATATTGCTATCCAGTCAAGCGATCCGGGGGCTGTCCAGTGCGTTCTGGACACGTCCGACGAAGGGGTTCGCTACGTGAATGATTTTCGCGATGCGCTGTTGGAGGGATATAGTCAGTACCTGCAGAGACTGACGGAATGGGCGACAACAGATCTCAATTTGCAGATGTCAGCGCAGCCCGCCTACAACCTTCCTATGGACATGGAGGCGACTGTTCCCCTTGTGAATGCACCCGAGTGTGAGAGTCTTGGCTTCATGGACAACATTGACGGCTACAGGCAGTTCTCTGGACCGGCTGTACTGGCGGGCAAGAGGATCGTCTCCAACGAGATGGGCGCCGTGTCTATGGCGGCCTTTCAGTACCAGATCTCCAGCCTACTGTGGTGTATTAATCGCGCGGTTGTGGGAGGTGTGAATCAATTTGTGATTCACGGTCTGTCTTATACTGGCAACTACTGGGCAACAACATGGCCGGGCTACACCGCATTCTCGTACTTCTACGGGGAATTGTGGTCGAATAAACAGCCGGCCTGGGATCACGGCTTCGCTGATTTCCTGGAATACGTGAGCAGGCTCCAATTCAGTCAACAAGCAGGGCCTCTGAAGACGGATATCGCTGTCTACAACAAGGAGTCTGCCACGGACGCTAGCTTCCGCTGGCATGCAGGAAATATGACTCAGCTAATTGATGCGGGTTAGCAGGACTCCCTTCTCTTCCATCAGTTTTGCACATTCGCCTTTGCTGACTTTCTTGTAGGCTATAGTTATAGTTACCTCTCACCCGAGAACTTCGGCCTTGCACAGGCATACGTCGGTAACCAGACCCTTGGGCCCGACGGACCGGCTTATAAGGTCCTGCTTGTGTACAGTGCATCGAATTTAACATATGAGTCCATCAGCAAGATTGCACAATTCGCAGAGGCAGGATTGCCAGTCATTTTAGTAGGTGGAGATCCGTCCCAATATGCCACTGCTGGCGCTGCCAGTCACCAAAACTTCACAGAAGCTATTGTTCGATTGAAACGCACAAAGAACGTCTTCACGGTCTCCGAGGGCGAGCTGATCCACAAGTTAGCCTCTCTCCACCTGGAGCCTCGAATTCAAGTGCAAGCCAACAGCACCTGGTATACAACCTGGCGTGAGTCAGTTCGCGAAGACATCCAATTCGCATTCGTCTATAATGACGGCAAGGCCAGTGCTGGCCATCTCGTGGTGTCCAGTGACAAAACCCCACATCGTTTTGATATGTGGACTGGGCAGTCTGCGCCGATACTTGAGTACCAGCAAGCTCATGGCAAGACCCTCATTCCTCTCGTGCTTGAGGCAAACCAGACTGCTCTGATCGCTTTTACTGGGCCTTCCGTCCATCGGTTACGCGAACCGGCTATTCACGCAGTTCAGACCCCTTCCACAATCCAAGGATACAAGTTTAACACGAACTCTTCCGACTCGGTTGAGCTTCATGTCTCTGCTGGGCTAAGCGACCAGCCTCTTGTCCTCTCTAATGGCCAAAACTACACGTTTCCACCTGATCGGGAAGTAGCGAGCAGTTTCATCCTCGGCAACTGGTCCCTCACGGCAGAGCACTGGGCCGCTCCGGCCAACTTGTCCGATGCCTCCCAGATTGCCTCCAAGTTCAACACCACCCACCAGTTGGACGCGCTCATCCCATGGACACAGATACCAAGTCTCGCTAATGCGTCCGGACTGGGGTATTACAGCACCAGCTTCGAGTGGCCACCCCGTATGGGCTCGGCGGACGGCGCATACCTCCTGATGCCCCGGGTTCTCCATACCCTCCGTGTGAAGATCAACGGCCACCAAACACCACCACCCGACTACAATGCACCGAAGGTGGACATCGGCCCCTACTTGCGAGCTGGCCGAAACGATGTTGTGATCGAAGTCCCCACTATAATGTGGAATTACATCCGAAGCATCTTTCACCGCATCGTGATGGCAGGTTATCCACCGCTTATCAGCATCACCGATCCCGGGCATCTTCCAGGGCCCGTCGATACCGGCCTGAGTGGCACCGTGCAAGTGGCACCATACGTGAAATGGCAGGCCAAGCTCTGAGCTGAGAAAGGATTTCGCGCAATAGTTGCCCCGCGCCGGAAGCATCCCAATCCCTCGTACAACCAACACGGGTAAGAGACGAGCAAAGTAGTCATTAATAATAACAAGGTTTCCCGGAAAAACGTTGCTTTGTCATATTTGTCTATATTATGGACTGCTCAATTGAAAGGAAATAGAAAGCATGGTAGTGTGAATCGTGCGCCCTTTCTACGCTATCACTGAGTTTGCTGCCTGACTTGCGTCGGGGTATTCTTAATCACTCCTTCCCATTACAACTTTTCCCAGAAAGTTCCACTAATAGCGCAAGCCAATCGTCCACCTTTATCAACTCACTGCCAAGGGGTAATCCAGTTGCCGTTCATTCAATTGGCACGGAGTCTAGGAACAGAGGTTCAGGGCCTGCTTCTCAGACCGTAGAACTATGCAGGGAGAAACTATAGTAGACCGGCCGTAGCCGGATAAACATTAGTTCACTAAGACTATACTTCGTTATTGGCTTCATGCTAAGTCTGGATGGTCTTCCAGCTTAAACTAGATTTCGGGGCCAAGATAAACTCTGAGCCAATTATGACGTCTACTGAAACTTACTTTAACCCTCATAAGACACATATCATTATGACCTTCATCTGTTGCCAAGCTCACGGGATCGATTATTCTAGTGACTTATACGGGAGAGGCTTCTACGATGTATTGACCTTCGCTGGGACTTGCCGTCTGGTTCCCATTAAGCACCAAGCCAAAGATGAAGTGTTCATCGCTTGAACTTGCTCTTTTGTTTACACAATTCACACCTTCAGCCCTGAACTTAAGCTGTGATTGTATGCGTGCGAAGAAGGAAAAATCATTCCTTAGCCGGGATGCCGTAGAAAACAAAGCTTCTCCGGTAGACGCTGTCTCAAGCGGTAGGGAGGCGGGTAAGACTGTGACGAATTTTACCAATCTTAGTCACTAGTGGGGCTGCAGGCACGCCTGCGGCAAGTATTACCTTTATCGGTAAAATAGCCAGCACCTTCTTATTTTCTGACCTGCCAAGATTGAGATTACAAAATCCAGATCCGCCTTTAGGCCGTTCTCCGGGTGAAGCCCCGGGGCACGGCAATGTTGTGTAATACCCTCTTGCCAAGTGACCCAGCAACAAAGCACCCATGGATCCATGGGTGCTAATACTGTCCATCCTGAGGGCCTTTTGCCCCTCCGACGAGAAACCGGTAAGAGGTTTTCGCTCACCAAGTTTTGGGAAAGAATCGATATTTTTCTTTTTATTTTCTTCTATTTTCTTTTCTTTTCTCTTTCATTTTTATTTCTTTTTTTTTTTTTTTTTT